GCTTCCGACTTTGATGCCGAAGGGTAGCACCGTCCACTTGAACACGCCACGGTGCGTCCTGAACGCCGTCGCGTTAATGGAGTCCTCGTCTGCAAGCCGAATACAGTTAAAGGCTTTAGAAACGTCGAGCTTGCAAAAGATCGTCATGCCCGCCATCGATTCCATGATATCCTCAACTGTTGGCAGATCGTGGACCTCAGACAGAATCTTCGCGTTGGGGCCCCGGAGATCGAATACCACCCGGTTGATGATTTTCTTCTCCGGTTCTTCTTTCACAAACAGCACCGACGATGGGTTCGTTGCTCCAGGCGCCGGCACTATTTTACCCGTGCGAAGACCATTGTCAATGATCTCATCGAGTGCCGCTCGCTCCTCCTCGTTGTACTTGGTGCGCCGATATGGCGTCTCGACGTCACCGCTCGCGAACCGCAGCTTCACGTCCAGCGGACCGCGTTTGGGAGGGTATTTGTCCGCTGCCGCTGGATCAAACAAGGCTGCGAACTCCCGAAACGCTTCCGGAATGGCCTTCGGATCGAACGGCTGCTGTGGCGATGCCTTTTCCCCAACGAGCAACGCTGCGCTCTCCGCCTCTTGAGCTTTGACACGAATCGGGCCGCTGTCCGTAATCCGCTGCAACACATCCATGCCTATGATCAGGGGCATGATGCATTGCGGCAGGATGTAGACCAGCACCTTGCCACGCCACTTGCCGATCGTCAGCTTGGCCCAGGCCGCGTGCGTAATGTCGCGCGTCGTCGTATCGACCATGCGTACCGTCATCGGCCGCTCCAGCACATGCGGCTCCAAGCCCCACGCCTCAACCGAGGCACTGGCTGCCAGCGTGCGCGTCGACCCCGAGTCGAAAAGCGCTCGGGTCGGTGTGGTCTTGCTAAACTTGCGGCCTATGCACACCGTAGATTGCACTGCATTCTTCTTTGAAAGAATTTTATTGAGTAGTACACGCGAAGGATGCAAATTCGTGTCTACCCTCAGGCTTTTCCCTGGCCGTCCTGGCCATTCTTGGGAGCCTTCTTGGGAGCCTTCTTGGGAGCAGGAGCATCGTCCGAGTCATCAGACTCCTCCTCGGAACTGCCCGCAGCCGCAGCCGCAGTGCCGCCTTTGGAATAGCATGCCTCCGACTTGTGGTTCGTCCTGCCACAGTGCTTGCAGCTCTTGACGTCCTTGTCCTTGCTCTTGCCTGCGTGATGACCGTTCTTGTCTCGATTCGGCTTTTGGACGTGCCTGGGAGCTTGACTACTGGTGCTGGTCTCCGCTCGTACCTTGCTCGGCATGCTTTCGACCAACTCGTTCAATGCATCAATCCACGTCATCTCGGTGGTGTCCTTGCACAGCTCCTTCGCCACATCGCGCACGCCTTTGTCTTCCGCTTGCAGCACAATGAAGCGCCTCACCAAATCATCCGTAAGTTCCGCTTTGGGCACATTCAACAGCATGACCTTCTTGAAGTGCCTCGCAGAAATCTTTGGATCCGCCACCGCTTGGATGATTTCCCTGAGTGCGTTATTCTTGCTGTTCTTGACGCCATACACATTCATAATGTACTCCAGCAGAGCTTCCGCAGTCTCGAACTTGACATGGCTACAGTAACGCCTCGCTGCGACACCCAGATGACCAAGCACAAAGTCGACCTTGTCCTTCTCGGGTGCCGTCACTGACTCAAGCTTGCGTCGGATGTCCGTGACAAAACGTTCCAGATCCAACAGCGTCCCATCGAAGGGTGTCACCTGCATGCCATGTCTCCACAGTTCAGTGCTGGTGGTGGGGCTTGCCGTGGTGGTGGAGGCCGCATGGCTTGATACAGCGATCTCAGCGGTTCCCTTGCGCATCGCCTCCTTGACGACCTCCTGCATTGAGGAAACCATCGCTTGAGTCATCATTCGCATCATCTCTTGCGCGCTCATTGGTTCAGCTGGTGCGCTTGTTGCGCTCGACGTGCCCGCAGTGGGCGCCGTCGTATCGACGCCCTGCTCGTTATTGGGCATTGCTTGATTCTGATTCAATTTCCTGGTTCCTACTCTAGTCGTCACCTTAGACATCAATTACTCGACCCTCGAGACTCGTCGCAGTGTTATGATCAGAGATCCTTCCACGAAGATACGAGTAATGGGTTGATGATGAGAGTGATGATAGGGAAACAAGAGACTTCACTTATACAAAGCGACGAGTGAACACACTCCAAATACAGATACACATCAATCCATAACAGGACTTCGTTTGTTTTGTTCTGTATCGGCCTGTAGTTGTCCAGCATCCAATCATTTTCATGCTCTGAGCGAATCTCAGATCTCTCACCCCATTCCTCTTTTTTTTTTTCGTCACACAGTTCTTATGCCGCCTGCAGCAGAGAAGAAGGACGACGCAGCGAACGCGATTGCAACCCCAGCGGGCTCGGGCTCTGGCTCTGGCTCCGACGGCACCAACAACGCCTCGTCGTCATCATCGTCATCATCAGCACCAACATCAGCACCAGCTGCGACCCCCGAGCAGGCTGCCGTCGCTGACATTCGCTACCAGATTGCCCTTCTCGACCGCGGCGTTACTGCCAAGGCAAGTTTCGTCCTCATTCGCCCCTCCTCTTCGTCCCTCTCTCTTCTTCTTCTTCTTCCTCCTACTTGCGTTTCAAAGTTGCCAGAGCCACATCGTTCTTGTCTGTCAAACTGTGCTCCAAACTCGAAAACGCTGCTCCAAAAAAAAAAAAAAAAAACAAAAAAAAAAATGCTGCGTTTCGCGATCTCTGGCTTTTTTTTTTTTTTTTTTTTTTTTTTTTGAGTTGGGGTTTTGTTGTTTTGTTTGTGACTAACGTTGTGTGTGTGTGTGTGTGTGTGTGCGTTGCCGTGCGTTCTGCCATTCGCTCGACCGAATCAGGAAACGCGCTACGCAACGCGGGTGCTGCGCGCAATCTCGCGACTGAGGCACACTCTGAACAAGAAGATTTTGGTGACGGCGCTCAACCACTTCCTTCCGACTGCATCGGAGACCAAGGCGCTGCTGCTGGAGGCGCTTGCGTTGGTGCCCGGCGATGCAGAGCCCATGGATCTCGACTCTGGCGCGGTGACGGTGGCTGCCGAAGAGAGCGCTGCTGCTGCTGTTGCTGCTACTGCTGCTTCGTCGACCGCGACGCCAATGGACACCACTGCCGCCGCTCCGGCAAGCACCAGCACCACCACTACGTCGGCCACGACCACGACCACAGCGCCTGCGACCAAGGCAAAGAAGCCCGCTGGTCCGCCGGCGTCCGTCAATCCGGAGGTCGACGCATACTTGCAGCTGCTCGTCGTCATCTTTTTGCTCGACTCGAAGGTCTACGGCCCTGCCCGCGAGCTCGCTGCCGCCTTGCTCGCCAAGCTGCAGCAGCACAGCCGTCGCTCGCTCGACCAGATCGAGGCCAAGGCGTACTTTTACTTTATGCGCGCACATGATCTCTCGGGCAACGAGACGGACGTCCGCCCTATGCTGCACGCCGCATTGCGCACGGCTACACTCCACCGCGACGACGAGGGTCAGGCAACGCTCATCAACTTGCTTGTGCGCAACTACCTTGAGCACGGCTTGTACGAGCAGGCCGACAAGCTGATTGTCAAGTCGACCTTCCCCGACCATGCCTCCAACAACGAGTGGGCGCGTTACTTTTATTACCTTGGCCGAATCCGCGCAACGCAGCTCGAGTACAGCGAGGCTTTCCAGCACCTCCAGCAGGCTCTGCGCAAGGCACCTCAGACGTCCGCCCCCGGCTTTTTGCAAACAGTCAACAAGCTGGCCGTCATTGTGCAGCTCTTGCTCGGCGAGATTCCAGAGCGCGCGCTCTTCCGCCAACCCATTCTGCGACGCTCTCTGGAGCCATACCTGCTGCTCTCCAAGGCCGTGCGAGATGGCAACCTCACCGAATTCGGCTCCGTCGTCGACACGCATGCCGACAAGTTTAAGGCTGACGGCAATTACATGTTGATTCTTCGGTGTGTAGGCTGTGTTGTTGCGCTGAAGGGCTGGACGATTGCTCGATTCTCGAAATTGTGTTGACCTCGTTTGCTCGTGATTTTGGTATTTTTGGGGGGTTGTTGTTCGACTTGACAGTCTTCGCCACAGCGTCATTAAGACTGGTGTTCGCATGATCAACCTGTCCTACTCGCGCATTTCCACGGCCGATATCGCAGAAAAATTGCAATTGCCGAGCGCTCTGGACGCCGAGTTCATTGTGGCCAAGGTTTGTTTTGGGCTTTCTCTCTCTATATATATATACACTGAGCTGCTATTGAGTTGAAAATTCTAACATATGACCTCTTGCTTGCTCTCTCTCTCTCCCGCAGGCGATTCGCGACGGTGTGATTGAAGCGAGCATTGACCGCACGAACGGCGTCATGCAGTCGAGCGAACTCCTGGACGTCTATAACACAAGTGAGCCACTCGAGGCATTCAACCAACGCATCGGATTCTGCCTGAACATTCACAACGAATGCGTCAAGGCGCTCCGTTTCCCGCCAAATGCCCACCGAAAGGCGCTCGAGACGGCCGAGGAGCGACGTGACCGAGAACAGCAAGAGAAGGAATTTGCTGAAGAGATGGCTGCCGAGGAAGACTAAAATGATACGGCTCGAGTTCTCTCTGCTGTGGGATCTCTGTAGATGCTTGGTGTTGATTTTGTTTCGTTGTGTTGCCCTTTGAGAAGGCGATTTTGTGAAAGACCAACAATGAACTACAATCGTGCTCTCTTCACGCTGGTTCTGTCGCCTCTTGGCCGTTGTATACGAGCCGGTCGATGGCTTGGGCTTCCGGTTGTCTCGCTCCAATGCGAAGAAGAGCTTGGTTGACCTCGCTTGCGCCCCCTGAGCTGAGCGGTCGTCGTCTGCTTTCTGCTCCGCGCGGAGGTGCTCAGCTCATACTGGTTGGAGGTGATGCCGCAGAAGCCCTGAGGGATGCGCTCCATGATGAGCTTGTGAGCTCAGAAAAAAGCAGCAGTAGATCCAATTGCTTTGTTTCAGTTTGTTTGATGGACTTTCAGAACTTCTCAAATTGACATCGCGCTTTTGTTTAAAACAAAAATCGCTGTATACAGATATATTTGCTTGAGGCACTGCTTTCGTATGTTGCAAATCCTCTGTCAACCGACATTCAGCAATCAATCACTCTGTCGCATCAACAATCGCGGGCACAGCTGACTTGAGCTGGTCGTGCCTACCAATAGTGTCTTGCACACCAAACACGCCGTCTAGGAGCGGCCTGATATCGTGGTTGGTGTCCGCCATAAAGCTCATCACGGAGATCGCTGTGCGCACTGCTGACCACAAACCGCTCAATGCTTGCAGCTTTTTGATTGGCAGACTCGTATTCAAATTGTTTGTTCATTGAAAGGGAAATACCAGTGCAGGTTGAAACCAAAATCAAGAAAACTAGTAAAATGGGCCTGATAGGAGTTTCTAACGCGACACTCTATGATCGACTGATCTTCCAATATAGCTGTTTTCGGGTCTTTTGAGGTATCAACAATGAACAATTTGAACACGAGTCTGCCAATCAAAACCACGAAAGCAACGACGACACCGCCGTCGTCCTTCATTTTGCGCAGTTGGTCGACAGTAGCCAAATCCCGGCTGAATGGATGCACAACAGCAGATACACCATCTACACATGAGCTTCAAGTGACAAAAACTTTGGAATCGGTCAAAGCTTGGCAGAGAGCCTTCTCTGCTCTTCTCGAGCCTCAGCTTCACGCTTGGTCAACAGTTTGCCGTCAATGTAGCGACGCATCGACTCGAGATATTTCATCGATTCTTCGTAAGTCTCTGGAAGCAGCGGCTTGATTGGCTTTTCGCACACAAACACAAAATGGAAAACGTTCGTTGTTTCCTGGCGACCGGTGACTGGATCAATGATGTCGGCACGAACCTGTAATCAATGAGAAAGATCGAAGCAACAAAAGCAGGAGAGGGGGAATTGAGGAACCAAAGAAAGCAGCACCGCACCACCTCAAAAAGCCCTTGTCGCCATCCACCGACAATCGTACCGAGACATGGAACGACTTGTGGGGGAACCCGCGCGCAAATGTCACTTGGGAAGTGTAGGACAAGATGGAGCCAATCTCAACGGGCTTCTGGAAGGAAATGTCATCGAGAGCCACAAATACCGGCGGGGCACGAGCATAAAAGTGGCTTGCCGCCCAGGCCAGTTCATACGCGTTGCGCATCAGCCATCCGCCAAAGATGCGATGGTGAATGTTGCGGTCCTGCAAAGTGTTCCAGCAAGACAGAGGGTTCATAGGTGTGAGCAAGGCTATACAAACGATAAACAAAACAAAAAAAAGGAAAAAAAAAAAAAGAGCTTCAATGGCTATTCTCAAACCTGAGGCTGGCAAACAGTGGTCGAGCTCATGATGGTGTCGCGCATCATGACAAAGTTGGCGGCATCGAGATGACGCTGTTGAACTGCAGCGCGTTTGAGAAACAGATCGTGAACGAGCGCACTCTCCTCCGCCGTGGGAGGCATCTTTGAAAGCGAGCGAGCCGCGCGTTCCTTGCGCCGGAGTTTGTTTGCTATCACAACAACACGACAACGGCAGTCAATAACAGGAGGTGTACAATGAGAGAGCTCGTGATTCAAAGCCATGCTGCAATGAGCTCGTCGTTCATTACCTGCACCCATGGCAAAAATAACACGCTCTTCAGGCGACTCGGGTTCCAAGCGGTTGACGTTGGTGGCCTTCTGGGTGACGGGATCACGTGCGACCATTGTGACTGACGCCGTGAGGAGAATGTTTCGACAGGGCACTTCGCTGGGTGTGAGGTAGAGTTCGGGTGATCCAATGTCCAGGATGCCCAACTCGCCATCGGCTGTCACAGGCGACGTAACGAACAGAGCCGGCTTGCCTTGCGCCTGCAGCTTTTCGGCACGCGCAGCGTGCAGTTCATGAGCGTCGACGAGCCAGATGGAGACCTCCATCGACGAAGTTCCCACCCACGAGACAAAGCCCATGAGCGCAAGATCGCGCATTGTGAGAGGATTGAGAATGTCGATACGATCGACCGACGCAGTGACGATTGTCAGTGGCGGGGTCAGTGGGTTGCTGTCATCGCAGTGCTTGTACGCAACGTTGGCGGCAAACGCATCAATGTCTTCCAGCAGCTTGCCAAAGCGAATGGTGCCATAGACGTTGGTGTAGTCGTCGCGGAGGGACTCCAGACTGCCAAACGGCAGATGGATTTCAGAGTACGAATCACGCATGCGCTTGGTGAGCGCACCCTGGTTGATGATGCTTGCAGCGTCACCCGATGCGATCGCCGGGCGCAACAAATCTTGCTTTTCCTTGGCCAGGCGCTCCATCCACAGCAGCTGGGTGACCACCGATCGCGACCGGTGCGTGTTCGACCGGTTGTGGACGTGCGGAATCTTGACCAGCGAGCTCCCTATCCAAAGCAATCCAACAACAATAAGAGACAATAAGTCGCCAAACAACTGTATCCAGCCTCACGTCTGCCTGATTTTTTTTCTTTTCGGGTTGGTTGCGAGGCGCATTGCCTATTGCATTGGCCAACCTTTGAATGCGTGATGGGAAGCGTCTGCAGCACTTGACGACGCCACAGTCGCGCAATCCAGATTCGATGATGACGACGCTGACGACGTCGATGATGACGACGACGATGACGACGATGATGACGAGGTCGCGGGAGTGGACGAGAGGCCAGCGACTCGAAGCGCCAACGGCGAGCGGAGGAAAGCCAGTCCAGGCGACAGCGCGCGCATCGCTGCAGTCAAGCGACACACATTACAAAGTGCAACACGGCGATGAGTACAGACAGATTGAGAATCGAGACAAAACACATGAACCGCGCATGAACCGCGGAGACAAGGCTTTGTGTTTGCTTCCATCTCAATCTTGAATCTTCAACACACCTGACGCACCGCGATGGAACATGACCGACAAAGGTTAAAGTTGGGACTGCATTGCATTGCATTAATATGCCAGGTTTGGAATGCGAAAGGGAAAAACAACAACAACAACAACAACAATTCCCCCCCCCCCCAAAGTCAAATCGAAAATAGCTCAAGTCACAAAAAGCATTTTGCAGTGTTTTGATGGTGGATTGGTGGTGGATTGGATTAGAAACAGCAGTCCATAGCTCGGGGGTTGCCGAGCGAGTTTACTGAGTGTACAAGCTGGCAGCAAAAACGATATCGCGCTTGATTAAACCTGCAGCTTCATCCATCTTGGCCATGAGGAGAGGGTCTCCAATCGTGCGCGCAGCGTTTCGGACATCGCGACACGTTTCCTCGAGTCTCGTGATGCATCGCACAATGGATCCTGCGTCAAAAGAACAAAGTACACAAAACACAGTTCGCAAGTGAGCAACGCGCGCGGCGATGACCAAAAAGCTCCCGTATCACGCAGAAAAGGCCAGGACAATCCACCATACCTTCAAGAATATCAGTCAGATCGGTGATTTGTTGGAACGGCTGGAGGATACAACATGACAACGACGAAAGCAAGCAAAACAGTTAAAGTCCGAAGCAGTGTCCAATTCTTCTTGCGGTAGCTCGTCGGCGAATCATCAGATTTTGTTCACTTACCATGCCACGCGCCCACTCCAACACAACTTCAATCAGTCCAAAGTGGAAGGTTGATCGCAGGAAATCAGGGACGGAGGTGCTAAAGCCACATGCGTTCTGCATCTCGGCAACCTTTGTCGCCACTCGTTCGAGTTCCGCTTTCGCCTGCGGCGCATCAAGACAAACGGTGAGCGAGCCAAGAATCCGCGCGGCAGCCAACCGCAACAGCATCACACGTACCTTTTCCATGGGCTCTGTCAGTTTGGGCTCACTCTGAGACTTTTCCTGGAACACCAAACTGGACAAGAGAGCCACAATCTCTGCAGGGCTCAACGAGGCCAGCACGTTCTCGAAAATCAGCTCAGTCACAATCAAGGCGCCTCCGTCATCAACCGTATTGATCTTTTTGAACGCATGCCAAATGGATGGTGGGTGAGTATGAAGCCGGCGGCTTAGCACATCGGGCACCTTTGGGTTTACATACCTCGCAAGCAACGCGGCCTTTCATCTGAACAAGCTTGTTTTCATCAATGTAGCCCATGCGCTGCAAAACATCGAGACGCTGTTGGTATTCTGGCAACAGAGCGAGTGAGTCATCCGAAAGCAGGTGCTTCAAGGACTGCACTTGGTCGTGGAGCCGTTGTCGCTCATGGATGATGGCATACTAAAGCATGTCAAACGCACGCAGTCAGAGCAAAAAAAAAAATACAAAAATCAAGCCACACCACAATCACAAACACATCGAAAAAAAAAAGCCGAAAGACGGTTACATGTTGGCGCAGCTGTGGACAGTGAATGCACTTGTACTGCTGGAAAGTGGCATCGAGATTTTGACGACGCGCGAATTTGTCAACCACGTCCAAATCTTGCAATTTCATGTCCTTGACGGGATGCATGGTTGTGAGCGTGGCAGGTTGCGCCTTGGCCAGTCGCGCAAGCTCCTCAAGCGTCGGAGCCGTGGCACGGACATCGCGCTTTTCCAAATGCGAAATGGACTCAACCTAAAGCACGTTACAAAAATGATCGGGGAGGGCGCGGGAGAGGGAGGTGGGGGGTGTGTTCAGGAGACGAGGTGAGCTGTTCTCTCTCGACTCTTTCGAGATGAACGTCTCTAAAACGAAACAACTCAACTCACCTTCAGACGCGTCGTCGTGATCGTGATGATATCACCGGCATCAATTTGTACAATGTCGTGATCCAAGGCACCGTCCGGCGTGAACAAGCTCAGCACTGGCAGCGGAGCGTTCAAGAGAGCTGACATGTGCCAGAAAAGTCAAGAGTGTGAGTTGTCGGCAAGACGCGCCAAATCACAGTCAAAGGCCCTACCATCCGAAGCAATGAATCCTGGAGGATTGCTCATGACCAGCACTGTGAGGGCCTTCTGGGCGCGCGCTCCCAAAGAGCTGGACGTGGACGTGGTGGAGTTGAATTTAAGAACGACTCCCAGCGCGTTTCGGTGAGTCTGGCAGGACAAAAAGAAAAACAAAACAAAACACCGAAAAGAACTCATCAAAACATGTGTTGTCAAAGCCACATCATAACCCCCCCACACACACACACACACACACACCAACAAACACCCCCCCCCATTCCAACATCACTTACAGCATTGTTGACCACCACAACGCGGCCAGGACCAAGGATTTTGTGACCAAGCAAGGACGCAACTGAAATGGAGAATTCTCGAGCGTATTGAAGAAACTCGGCCGAGGCCTTGTAGAATGGTTCAATGTCGGCAAGGCAGAAGGTGCAGTTGTCCAGCGAGGGCAGTTGCTTGAGCGTTTTTTCCCCTTCTGCAAGGCGTTTCTTCTGCTCCGTCGTGTCGCGCTGAACATGGAACTCGGAAAAGCTGCGCTTGATCATGTCTTCAACGCGAATCTCCTCCACGCGCAACAAATTCAAAATCATGTTGTAGGTCAAGCGGAATCGAGACTCGAGCGTCGTGGCTTTGCCCAACAGCATGTTGATCAAGCCGCCAGCATCCGGGACCTCGTCGCCTTTGACAAGCAGGATGACTGTACCCGTGTCATCGAGGCCTCGTCGACCAGCGCGACCAGCCATTTGGACATACTCGCCTGGCAGAAGATCACGGAATCCAGCTTGTCCGTCGGGCTTGCGGGTGCTATCAAACACAACCGTGCGCGTAGGCATGTTCACGCCCATCGCGAACGTTTCCGTCGCGTAGAGCACCTTGACGAGACCTCGCTGAAACAAGAGCTCGACCATTTCCTTGATGATTGGCAACAGGCCACCGTGGTGCACGGCAACACCGCGACGCAGCATGTCACGCATGCGCAGCACTTGCGGGAGGTTTCGGTCGTTGCCGCGCAGCCGAGACACGGAATTCTCGATAAACACGTGAATGGCGCTCTTTTCGTCACCCGTCGTGAGGTCGAGTGTCAAAATGCCATCCGCATTGCTCTCGCACCGCTTCTTGGAAAAAGTGAATGCAACCATCGGCAGCAGCGACTTTTTCTGCAGCATTTCGATCAAGGACATCCAAATGTTGCGATCTTGCTGGGGGTTGCCGCGGTAGCTGTTGCCACCAAAGTGGCCCCCACCACCACCACGACCGCCGCCGCCGCCACGATGCGCAGCTCCGCCACGCGCGCCACCGCCGCGACCGCCACTGCCGCCTCCCTGCTGGTTGTCTTGGGCCTGGGCTTTGCGCTGCGCAATAGTTTCGACAGCTTGTTTGTAGCCAGCTTGCAAAAAGTTCTTGTTTGCGTCGACAATCTTGAAAAGCTCGTTGCTGGTCTTGGTGCTGTTGCCAGTGTACAAGAAATGCTCGAGTGGCACGGGCCGCTTGAGGGTGCTAATAACGTGAATGCGCTTTCTCTTGGTTCGACCAACCCAGCCCGCAAACTCCATCGTGTTTGGCACGGTAGCAGAGAGCATGATAATGTTGACGTGTGGAGGAAGCATAATGATGACCTCTTCCCACACGACGCCACGATCCACATCGTTCACGTAGTGCACTTCGTCAAAAATCACCCACTCCACGTCGCGAATCATGTCGGCGCCGCGGTACAGCATGGATCGAAGAATTTCGGTCGTCATTACCACGCACGACGCCTCAGGCCGGATTTGCACATCGCCCGTGAGCAAGCCAACGTCATGGAATGTGTTTCGGAAATCGCGGAACTTTTGATTCGACAGGGCCTTGATGGGAGAAGTGTAAATTGCTCTGCAGCAACACAAGAGAACAGAATAAAACGCAAGCGATTTAGACGCACAGATTCGAACTGCATTCCCCTGTTGTTGTATACACTGCTTACTTGGTGAGATGCTTGGCAGCCAACGCGATGGCATACTCGGCAATCACCGTCTTGCCAGCCGAGGTATGGGCCGCAATAAACACACTTTCGTGCTTCTCCAGCAAGAGAATGGCTTGTTGTTGGAACGTATCGAGTTTGAACGGCCACTGTTTCGAACAAAAGAGCGAAGGAGAAAGCTTTTGTCAGACAAATGGGAAGAGGGGCTCAAGTTGCACATACACAGGGAGGACGTACACGATAGGCCATGTCTGGCACAAGCTCGTGGAAATTGTCAATTGCAGAATTGATATCGACAGCAACTGCGAAGTTCTCCACCGCTGCTTCGCGCGTCTTTGTGGCGGAACTGACCACAGGTGTGTTCTGCATTGCGCGGATTGGCAGCAAAAGAAAAAAAGAACAGCACAAACAAAACAAAGTGAGGTTGAGTTTTGAATCAGCAATAAACAAAAAAAGAAAAAAAAGAAAAAACAACAATTGAATGCCTACCAACTGGAGCACCGCCTCGAGCGACGCTGGATCTGCAATCAAAACAAAAAAGGTCCAAAACAGAGAGGGAGAGAGTCAGATGTCTGAGCACAGCTTTCGCTCCAAACCGGAGGAGCTATAAAGCTCTTACCATGGACCGGTTGAGTGGCCGCGTCTGACCCGACAGCAGTGGTTGCATCGGACTCGTTCGGCACAGTCGCAGAAGCTGCCACATCATCATCGCTGTCGTCGTCTTCAACTGCACGCAGCAGTTTGGCTGCCGCAATCACCGCATGGGAGCTGCCTTCGCCAGCCGCACGCTGCATGGATGCAGTCCCATCTGCCGCGATCACCACTCGAGAATGGAATCCTGGTGGGAGCTCGCGATAGCCTCCTGCGGGCATGGCGAGAGGATTGGACAGGTCTGCACAAACAAAACAAGCAAACAAGCAAAAAAACAAAAACCAAAATCAAACATTGTCATGGTCAGAGATTTGCATCCAGCACTCTGGTGACAACCACCCCTCGCTCCAAACACGAAACATACCAAGTCCGACCAACGCCTCAGCCATTATGGCGTGCCTATCGGCGCCTGCGGTGAAAGACGGGACGAAACCGCCGGGGGTGAACGGGAAGCTGGACGTCGTTCCGCGATGAGCCTCGCTCTGCTTTGCAGGTGCCCGCAGCAGGGATGTCGAGTTTCGAGCATTCTGAGACTTGTCTGAGGACGATCCAGCCTGCGTCGGGACCTCGCGAAACCCAATCGCCTCGCCTGTGGCAGGGTCGCGATCGAGCTGCAAATCGCGCGACGGGGCGCTCAGCGCGACATCCCACAGCGAACACGGGTTGACAGGCTTGTCCCACACACGCTGAGCAAGTTCCACTGGCGGCTCTGGTGGCGCGCTCAGGAAGCGACTCTCGAGTTCCAACCTAGTCAAGCAACAATGCCAATGCGTGAGACCCACTTGTGCTGCAGCCATCGACACCAAAGCACTTTTTTTTGCTCTCTGCTTTGTCAGGCATTACCGAAGTCCATCCACGGACCACTGCGATGGGACCAAGCCGAACGGCAGCGTCGAGAGTGGCAGCTGCTGAGCAGCAGCAGCAGTAGAAGTGCTTGGAGGGAAGGCGACTCCAAGGCGGCCTGCAGTCCCGTACTCGACAATCTGGAACGTGTCGAGTGGGTTACCATTGGTGGCGATTGAAGTGGCGTTGGGGTGGGTCGCAGTAGCAGGGGCTGGATCGAGCTGCTCTGCAGCAGCGAGCTCAGCCAGCCAAGCCGTTGCAGTTGCAGTTGCATTGGCCTCCATACTGATGATTGATTGCAAATCAACGACCAAGCACACAACAAAGTAAAAGACTGATTTTTCAGAGCTTTGGATGGCGAGCACAAAAGAGACTTTTTCAATGCCGATGCGTTCAGTGTGAGTGAGTGTGTGTGTGTAAGTCTCTCTCTCTCGTCCTTCCGCCCTCTGCTCCAAAATGTTGATCGTACTCGTTTGATTTGCATTCTCAAATCACTCTGCTTCCCAAAGCAGGACAATCGACCATTGTTCAATTTTTGTTGCTTTTTACTACAACGAACTCACTAACATGAACGTTCAGCCAACATCGAACGCTGGCGTTCAACCATCGCGCGATCCACTTCCGCAAAACCCAGCGGAAGATGAAGATGAAGATGAAGACGACGACGACGACGATGAAGAAGACGATGACGACGAGGAAGAAGAAGAGGAAGAAGACGAGGGAGACGAAGTGCAGTCAGCTGCTTTGACTGCGACGACGAACGCCGCTGCCCCTTCCACTGCTGCTGCTGCTACTGCCGCTGCCGGGGCTGCTGCTGATGAAGACGACGATGAAGACGACGACGAAGACGACGAAGAGGAAGATGAAGAAGAAGAGGAAGAGGTAACCGATTGGATTGAAATTTCCATTGGATTTTGTATTGGAAAATTTGCGCGATCTCAACATCAACAACTGCACTTTTGTACCGCGTTGGACAGCCAAAACTCAAGTATCAGCGTCTGGGCATGTCCGTCCTCAAAGTGCTCGAGAACGACGCAGCGAGTTGCCTCGCCGTGCACGAAAAGTTCCTTGCGCTGGGCACGCACTGGGGCGCCATTCACATTTTGGACTTTTACGGCAACGAGATTAGCCGGTTTGCCCCTCACACGGAGGCCGTCAACGACATTTCCATCGATGCGCACGGCGAGTACTTTGCATCGTGCTCGACCGATGGCAAGGTAAATAATGGGGTTGGTGAGAATTGTTGTGATTGTCGGATGAAACACTCATTTCACGCCTTGCACCTCGCCCCCTCGTTGCTTTCCTAACAACCTCAACAGGTTGTCATCAATGGGTTGCTGAGCTCGGAACACAACATGAGCATGAACCAGCAGCGACCGGTCAAGGCAGTCGCCATCGATCCAGAGTTTGCACGCCGCAAAAAGAAGGAAGTGGTTGCTGGTGGTCTTGCCGGTCAACTAGTCCTCTGCGAGAAGGTGCGGTCAGCGAGGCGGGGGTGGGGGATGCTTTTGTTGTTGCGTTTGATAATCACAGGACATGCCTGCATTTTTTTTTTCTGGCGGCTAACCCTCCCCTTTGCTTTGATTGAAACAATTCAGTCTTGGTTTTCCAACAAGAACACTGTGATTCATGCTGGCGAAGGCCCCATTTTTACCATCAAATGGCGAGGCCCCTATATTGCATGGGCAAACGAAGTGGTAAGCAACTTGACTTTTTTTTTTCTTTTTTTTTTTTTGGATGAGTGTTCTCAGCTTCTCCTTCTGTGTTTCCTCCCCCCCCCCTCTCCACTTGAACAGAGTGTCAAGGTGTACGACTGCAGCTCCAATCAACGAATCACCTACATTGAAAAGCCCAAGTCGGCCACGCGTGGCGATCTCTACCGCTGCAATCTGTGCTGGAAAAATGACACTACGCTGCTGATTGGCTGGGCTGACAGCGTTCGCGTTGGTGTTGTCAAGGTACGTTCTACATATTTGTTTCCTTGTTCGAGTGGCTGCTTGCTTACTCCCTGCCACTCCGTCATTTTTTTTTTATTTCGGACGCAGGAAAAGGCACGCTCGGCAAAGGACATCCAGGCAGGCCTCCCATCTCGATTCGTGGAGATTGTTGCCATGTTCACGACCGATTACTTTATTGCCGGTATTGCGCCGTACAACAACGACATTGCCCTGCTGGCGTACACGGTTGAAGAATCGGCGGACGGCAAAAAGAGCGTCCCGCAGCGCCCCGAGCTGCAAATTGTGTCCTACACGAACGAAGAAATCTCCACCGACTCACTCTCCATCAATGGATTCCAGAACTACCTGTGTGGGCATTACAGGCTCGAGCATCTGTCCTCTGAAATGCTCTTTTACATTGTCTGCCCGAAGGACATTGTCGTTGCCCGCCCGCGCGACATTGAGGACCACATTGCCTGGTTGTTTGAAAAGAAGCGCTATCCCGAGGCACTGGAGGCCGCCGAAAGCGCCCTCAAGTCGGCCGAGTCGACCTCGTCTGCCTCCTCCACGGAGGTCGAAAACCGCAAGAAGGTCCGCCTCGATATTGGCCAGCAGTTCCTCAAGCACTTGCTTGACATCAACCAGTACGCGCAGGCAGGCGCACTCTGCCCTCGCGTGCTCGGCGACAACGGCACCCTTTGGGAGAGCTGGATTTACCTGTTTGGCAAGGACAAGCAACTCGAAGCCATCAGCCCCTACATTCCCACCTCCAACCCGGTGCTGTCACCGACCGTGTATGAGATGGTGCTCAACTACTACCTCCTGCGCGATCTCGAGGCCTTCCAGAAGACGATTGCACAGTGGCCTTCGACGCTGTACAAGGTGGACAACATTATCAATGTCGTTCTGGAGCGTCTCAAGCGTGACCCGAATTCGCCCGAGCTGATGGACACGCTTGCTGAGCTGTACAAGAAAGACGGCCAGTACCAGAAGGCGCTCTTCATCTACCTGCGCCTGCGTCGTGGCGACGCCTTCCCCTTGATTGAGCGCCACAACTTGTTCAGCTTTGTCGTGGACAAGATTGTGCTGTTGATGGAGTTTGATGCTCCCCAGGCCGTTGTCATGCTCGTCAAGAATTCCGACAAGATTGAGGTGACCAAAGTTGTCAGCCAACTGCGTGACACCCCGTTCTTCCTGCACCAGTATCTCGATGCACTCTTCTCCAAAGATCCCAAGCTTGGCGCCGAGTTCCACGAGCTGCAAGTCGGCCTCTACGCCGAGTACGACTACAAGAAGCTGCTCCCCTTCCTTCGGACATCCAGCTTTTACCCTCTCGAGAAGGCCCTGTCCACTTGCCGGGAGCGTGATCTCGTGCCGGAGCAAGTCTTCCTTCTCGGTCGCATTGGCAACAACAAGCAAGCCCTCACTCTCATCATCGAAAAGCTCGGCGATGTCCAACAAGCTATCGAGTTTGCCAAAGAGCAGAACGACGAAGAGTTGTGGGAGGACTTGATTACCTATTCGATGAACAAGCCAGGTACGTACTTGTTTGTTCTTTTTGTTAGGTGTTGGTTGATGACGGGCGCACGTTGGTTTATTTATTTATTTTTGTTTTTTTATTTATTTTTGTTCGGATTGCTCGTCGTGTGACAGTTTTCATCAAGGGCTTGCTCAACAATATTGGAACCCATGTCGATCCGATTCGCCTGATCAAGCGCATTCCTTTGGGCCTGCCCGTCACTGGATTGCGTGATGCTCTGGTCAAGATTTTGCAAGACTACAACCTTCAGGTGTGCTTTGGTGGACGGCAGCATCCGTTGAGCAGCACCCCTTTGCACTCACTTTCACTGAAATTTGCACGAGTTAGATCTCTTTGCGCGAGGGATGCAAGAAAATCCTTGTCAGCGATTGCGTCGTGCTTGGTAGCCGCTTGAACAAGGCCCAGCGCCGTGCCCTGCCTGTGGATGATTCGTCCACGTGCAGCATCTGTGGCAGCTATGTGATTAACAATCGTACGTATATGTATCAATTTTTTCGCCTTGAATTTTGCGAATTTTGTGTGCGCTGTCCATTCGTTGGTTTATTCTCACTCACTTGACTGCATTTTCCAACAACACCAGTGTCCGCGATGGGCGAAAAGGATCTCGTCATTGCCTTCTTCTGCCGACACGTCTACCACGAGCACTGCTTGAAGCGACCGCGTGTGGCTGAGGCTCAGGCGAAGGGCAAGAGCGCGCCGTCCAAGCCTGCTCACGAAGAGAATGACATGTGCTGTCCGCTTTGCCGAAACGCCGCTCAGTCCAACAATCGCCGAAAACCTGGGCACAATCGGATCGATCTGAAGTAAAAGAAATTCACCTGCAACAAACCCATTGTGTGTGTGTTTTTTTTGGTCTGGTTGGTTTTTGCGCTGATGCTCGTTGATTCTTGTACAAATGTATTTTTCTTTTGTTGTCTACTACTGCGTTTCTAGCACAATTCCGACATCATGATGGTGGTGCAGCAGAGGTTTTTGATGATGTGGGTTTGCTTCGAGGCGACGCAGGAGACGTTGATGGCTTGGAGACGGTGGCTGTGGCAGCACTGGCGCCTGCCTCCTGCTTCACAAACTCGGCCGTCGCAGCATGCAGGAACGACGAGCTTTTGCGCATCAGACGAGCAGGACTGACGATAGCGGTGCTATTGTCAAGACCGAGCAAGTTCCGGACGTTGCCAAGCTGGTGCAGGTTGGTTGTACGGTGGACGGACGGATGTGACTGGACGGAGAGCTGCGCCGCCATGTCGACGAGCGAGCGGAAGGACATTGGCTCATAGATGGCCAGCTGGGACAGCACCTTGCGATCAATCTGGCAGTTCATGAGGACCAGGCCATGCATGAAGCGCGAGTACGACAGGCCATATTCCCGTACTGCGGCGCCTATACGCGCGACCCAATTCTACTCCGCGTGGCCACAAAGGCAGTCAAGACCAAAGCAAATGGACAAGTGTGAGTGGTTGGCGCCAGGACGAGAGCAATCCATGATGAGAGAGAGAGAGAAAGAGAGAGTAAAGCATGCGGTCTGAAGCAGTCCTCCACGCCGAGGTTCAACGCGCCACCCCAGCGCTTCATGATGTGAATGAGCAACCAAGAATGAAGGGTGCGCCGGTGGACCGAGGCGGAAGAGGGGGCAAAGTGCAGCAGAAACAAATCCAAAAACGAAAAAAAAAAAAATGAAAGAAAAACCATGCTCGTATAATAGAGCGGTTTTTAACAAAACAATATTCCTACGGCCCACTAAACAATCCGAAAGCGACAAAGCAAGGAAAACATAGGCGGCCCCGAAAAAAATAAAACAAACCTGACGCATGGTCCGTTTCTTGAGCTTCCTGCCCTTGTATGCGTGCTGGAGACCCTTGTGCACGCGCTGGATGGCAATCGAGTAGCAGTTCTTGGCGCGACCATAGAAGCCTCGCGCCAGGTTCAGGATGGTCCGACGCCGCGCGCTTCGTCCGTACGAAGTGATGCGAACCATACTTTGGCTGGAAGAGCGATTGAAAAAGCAGACTGGTTTTTTTTTTTTTTTTTTTTTTTTGATTTTGGATTCTGATTTTCAATGTTTCGGCCATAGATTCAAGGAACAATCAATCAAATCAAGCAGGCTACCAGATTCCCCACCTTCAAAAACAGCACTTTGGGACACAGCAGCAAGGTAAGCATTAAATCAGCTGTTTTGAAGATTGAAAATGACAAGTTACACAAACACAAGCACAAAAAAAGAATTATTACTCAAACACAATCAAGAAAGGAATATCAAGTGAGAAAGGAAAGAAAATCAAAAAGGACGCATAAGGAGATCAGGAGGGCCCAAGCCGAAAAGCCAAAAACAAAACAAAACAGACAACCAGAACCAAACAAAACGAAGGACCAAGTCCAAGTCCAACAGCAGAAGGCGCTGTTTTTTTAAAGGAATGGTGTCATCACGTTGTGGTGAGAGCCGCGAATGAAAACAGTTGGCCGCCCGTGGGAAGCGAGCTCCTCGAGCCACTGCAAGTATTCACTGACGGTCGTTTCGGGGAAGGGCAAGGGCAGGGTGGTGAAGACCATGGTGGAGTCTCGGGCAATCGCCTCCATGTGCGGAGCATAGGACAGGAAGTAGTGCGCCACCTCCGTTTCGGGTGTGAAATGGGTATGCGTGGACGCCGGCTTGGGGGCGGAGAAGGACGAGCCCATGGCCATCAGGTTGCTCGAGCTGTTTGCAGCGCTGCTTGCAGTACTGCTGGAAGGCGATGGCAAGATGCCGCGACGCAGAACGTCGGCCTGCGCGTTTATCCGGAACGCGCGAAGGATGCGCATGAGTTCGGCGCGCGTGTTGCCAGCGTTCTCGCCCTCGGGAATCCAGACGCGCAGCTTGATGTCGTGCCACTGGAAGTTGCGCATGAGCAGGTAGGGCAGCAAAAGGTTGAGACCGCCTTCGTCGGCCAGCCAGAAGACGTCCACGTTGCCGTTGAAGCGCTTGGTGGCGTCAAAGTCGGACATGATGCGAGAGCTGCCACGAATGACCATGGTGCCCATTTCGAGACGCATGCTGTCCTTGACAATCTCAAACCAGTCGGCCAGGAGCAAGGGGGAGATTTGACGCCACTCTTCGAGGAACTCGACCACGTTAATGTTGGTGCGGACCTTGCCGAGACCAGAGTTTTGCATGAGCGAGAGCATACCCTCGCGTGCGGTGGACGCAAGAATGTTGTTGTGGAAGGCCTTGGAGCGGTTGGTCACGGTGGACGAGGTGGGAAGCTGGCGCACCTCATGGAGCTTGGCGGCGGTGAAGGTGCCGGGAACGACGGTGCCTTGAACAATGACACCGCGGGCCTTGTAAAAGGAGGCGGCCATCTTGAGCATGCTGCTGGGATCCTGGCAGAGGTTGGCAAGAACGAGGAAGGACGGGCGGTAGTTCTTGATGTGAAGACGGGTGGTGGACTCGAGCGACCAGAGCGAGCGCATGGTCGAAACGTAGGCAAAGGACTCGTGGGCATCACCAAGGTTGAGGGACGACTTGCGGAACTCGGCGTACTTGTAAATGAGGAAGGCAAACACCGAGACACCAATGGCGGCGTACCAGTTGGTCAGGAACATGAAGAGAACGCAGCCAAAGACACCCGACAGCGCGTGCCACTTGTTGTACAGCTTGAACTGGGGGCGCCAGCCGGGCGAGCGACCAATCGAAGCAACAAAGCAGGCATAGTTGATGATGCCGTAAATGGCAGTGTACATGACGGTGACGGCGGGGGCGATGAGGTTGAGCTGACCGCCAGAGGCAACAATGACGGCCGACGCAACAAGAATGGAGAGAATGTAGCCGCGCTGAGGATCGCCAGACTTGGTCAGGGCGGCAAAGAACTCGAGCTTGGGGAAGAGGCCGTCCTTGAGGGTGGCAGCAAAGACACGCGGTGCCGAGATGAGCAGACCGAGCGCAGTGGAAAGCGTGGCCGAGAAAATACCAGCGTACACGAGCGGCGGCCAGAAGGCAACGTCGACCATGAACGAGCGCGTCTTAAAGTCCTTGAGGGCGACAGCCGTGCCGGTGGCAGCGTTGAGCAAGAGAATCATAATGTAGACAATGCCAGTGAAAACAATGGCCGAGAGCGTGCCCATAGAAATGTTACGGCCGGGATCCTTGAGCTCACCAGAGAGCGCAACGCCACCGAGAATACCCGTGACGGAGGGGAAGAAGACACCAATGACGACGAAAAAGTCAACGTCGTCCGACCAGTTGGGGACCAGGTTGCCGTTCAGCGTTTCGGACGAGTAGCCAGTGTAGCCCTCGAAAAAGTTGTAGGGACGGTAGCAGGTGCCGATGAGGAAGGCGGTAAAGCCACCCATGATGCACATGAAGAGGGCAAAATTAATGTTGTTGACCCAGCCGACACCGCCGAGAGCAACGGCGAAAATGAGGCCGTTGGCAGCAAGCGCAACGAGGACAGTGTCCCACTCGCGAGCGCCCGTGATGGGAGGCGAGTACAGCTTGACGACTTCTTCAGCAAAACCGACCGTGTTGAGCGCAATGGCAATCATCATGGCAAAGGAAATCAGGATGCCGATGGTGGTACCAAACTCGATACCGACAGAGCGTGAGACTATATAATATGGACCACCACCGAGCACCTTGCCGTTTGTGCAGAGCGCAGTGATGGAGAACGTGGTGGTGACGGTAATGTAGCAGGACATGAAAATGATGGCGACCGAGAGGAAAAAGCCGGCGTTGGCGACCATCCAGCCCATGCGCAAGAACATCATGACACCAAAGATGGAGACGACGACACGGATGAAGACACCGTCGATGGTGCCGTACTTGCGGTTCTTGTCGTCGTCCTCGTCGCTGATGGCGGGCGGCGGGGCGGTGAGCGAGGCCATGTTCTGGGCAATCAAGAGTCGGGTGGTCTTGGCAAACGTTTCCGACGAGTTGTTGACATCGTCCTGGTTGGCATCGAGCAGGCTGACCTCGGTGGCGTCGGCCAGCACAGCCGCCGCGGCTTGCGAAGCGGCAGCGCGGTTGGTCTCAAAGTCGAGGAAGGCAGGCAGCTCAACACGGCCGTGCGACGATGCAGTGTACGCAGCCATCTTGGGCGCGGCCTCCGTCCAGTCAGGAGCCATCGCAGGCACGGCGGGCTTTGTGGCCAGCGACGAGAGCTCAATGCCCTGATCGGACGTGTCAATGGACGATCCGTCGTCGTTGATGTGCAACAGCGGTTCCGACATGTTTGTTGTTGTCGTGATCAAGTGCTAAATCCAAAAAGGAGGAGGGTGTTTTTTTTTTAGGCAAAAGAGGACGAATCTGAGAAACTGCCAAAAAGTCAAAACGGAACCCAACAACAGGAAGTGAGACAACAATAAAAATCGAGACTGGCATTTTTCCAAGCAAAGTTGTTGCATCCATCGCGAGCATGAATCACAGACGTAGAAGCAAAGAGGACGACGACGAAGCAGAGAAAGAAGAAGAAGAAGGGGGAAAAAAAAAAAAGAATCACAAAAAAAAAAAAAAAAAAAGAACTGGAAAAACCAGTTTGGTGTTTTTTTTTTTGTTTTTTTTTGAATTGTTCAAACAAACTCGATTTGGGGGGTTTCGACTGTGCCCTGCGAGCGATGCAGCGGGAGACGAGGCTGGAATTGCATGACAAAAAGGCAGCACAGAACGATGGAGGCTGGAATCCAGTCTCAGACGTCCCTTCACTTTGCCACAATGCAACAATAAAAAATCAAAATTCGAGTTCCACGAGCTTTTTTTTTTTTTTTTTTTTTTTTTGTGCAAAACGATCCGTTGTCTTCAGAGGCATCAGAGAGAGGGGAGCGCGGCCGCAGCGTGACGGGCGTTGGGATCGGACCCACTGAAGGCCCACTGAAGGCCCACGGAAGGGCGGCGGAAGGGCGACGGAGCAAGGGAAGAGGCAAAAACAGAGAGAAAATAAAGAGCAAAAGAAAAAGGCGCAAAACCGGTTTTGCTTCAGTTCCATCCACGAGGGTTGGCAAAAAAAAGCGCAATGGAAAAAAAAGCAGAGAGCAAAGCGAGAAGACGAAGAACAGGAAGCGACAGATCAAGCCGCGAAAACGGGGGGTTGGTGGTGGTTGTGGTGGTGGTGGAAGCGCGCGATGGGTCGGTGAAGCGCGCGATGCAGTGGATTGGGAAGCCAAAGTTGCATGGGAATCAAGGACGTACAAAAACCTAAAAAAAAAAAAACAAATAATAATAATAAAAAAAATAAAAGAAAAAAAAAAAGAAGAAAAAAAAGAAAAAAAAAAAAAGACTGTTCTGTTTGAGTTTTGCCATTGTTTGCAATGTCTGAGCGGTCTCACGCTGGGCTATCGTACGGTCGGATGTTGCGCAATGATGATTGAGTTGCATGAACAAAGGGGGTGGGCTGGGGTGGGGAAAACAACAACGAAGGGTCCGCGATCCAGCCGTCGTCGAGCAATCTCAGAGGCAATCCATCTCGACTGTCGCTTGCTCCTTTCCACGCTGCAACTGAACAGTGATTCCAACTGCATGCTACTTGACCATCGCTCTAGTTTTGTGTAAGGCTCAGTCCAGTTCCAGTGAGTTAGCATTGCGGCTTTTTTGTTTTTTGATACTGGTTGCTTCGATACCCCTCTCCCCCCCCATTTCGACACAAGCGCGCTCGCCTTGTTTGCAATCGCGACACTTCTCCAATGCCTGACGCTACTACACCCATCTTTGCATGCATGCAACGCAGCGACCCAGAGTGGCCTCTCGGACCCCGTGGAATGGCATGCTGCAAACTGGTTTTCGACCCAGGTCGCTTCACTCACTCACACTCACTCACTCACCCTCGTCGCTCTGAAGCAGAGGCCTCGACTTTGCTGTGGCGTTTGACTCTCGTTCATCATCTCGCCTTTTGACCTTGGGTTTCGACGGATAGGAGGAGGAGGAGGAGGGCACTACTGAACAATGCAATGTCGCTCACCGTCCTCCCTTCATCTCCAGCGCACTTTTGTTTGATCCATCGAACTCCGACTTGGCTGAGCAGGCAGAGCGAATTCCAAATCAAAAAAAGTCAGCCATGTCTGGGACGGTGAAAAAGTTCAAGCAGCAGTTCCGCAAGGCCATCAACGCCGGCACGCTGGACGCGGCAACGTCCGTGCGCTCGAGTCGCTCCAAGCCAACCGAGTCGGAGTTGGGCAAGAAGCTCAACACGGATGCCTTCAAGTTTGCCACGGTGCGTAAAACCCACCAACCAAGGCGGGGGGGGGGGAACCAGATGTTCAACACCCAACCACATTCAACTCACCTTCCTCTGCAAAACAACAGACTGCTTGGCACGGACTGCCTGGACCGGCAACCTGTGCTGCGTTCGATACTGTGCAGCGACTGCTTGCTATTGGCACCAACGAGGGCGTTGTGAAAGTGTATGGTGCGTCGGACGTCGAGACCACACTCGTCATGCAGGACAACCACCCCGTGTCGCACTTGGCCTTCTGCATCAACGACGGCGCGTTGCTCACGGTATCGGGACACCATCACATTGATCTTTGGAACACGCGTCTGCCACAGCCAACGGTCGTCCGCTCGGCCAGGTTCAAGGAGGAGATTACGCACATTTACCTGCCCACCAAATCGACGTGGCTCTATGTCGGCACGCGCCTTGGAAACGTGCATCTTCTGACGATTGAAAGCTTTTCCGTGTCGCCCTACCTCATCAACTGGTCGATTCTCATCCCCGCGGGCATTGCCGAGACTCGCATGCTCGAGGCCAATCCCGGCCCCGTCACCGGCATCGAAGAGTGCCCGGCAGACTACCGCAAGCTCCTCATCACGCACGCCTTGGGACACTGCGTCTTGTGGGACTGCAAGGCACGGAAGGTCATTCGGCGTTACGGCTCCAACAACAGCAGCGAAGCAGGAGGCTCTGCCCAAGGCGGCTCGGTCTTTGCCATGCCTGGCATCCGTAATGCCGCTTGGTCGCACGACGGCAAGCATTTTGCTCTTGCCCACGACGACGGCACAGTCTCCACTTGGAATGCCAGCGGAGAAGCGCGACCCGATCTCATCATGCGTGGAACGCAAATACTCTCTGGCGCTGGAGCATCCACTTCCCCAGCTCCGGAAGACGCATCCCGCAACTCGAATGAGCCAGTCACCAGCGTGGTATGGGCTGCTGCCGACGAGCAGCGCTCCTTTCTCATCTACGCGGGAGGCACCTCCAAAACGGACGGTCTCCACACTGTTTACATTTCGCAGGCAAAAACGCAGAAAATGTTTTGCTTTGAGAGCAAGGTCATTTCTCTGCAGGTGGTCGCTCAATCGCCCTGGCCGAATGCCATCCACAATCCTCTCGCGCTCATTGTCGTGACCGAGACGGGCGTTGCGGTGGTGGACCTCGTTACTCCCGGCTATCCATTCTTCCCGATGCCCTATCCGTTCGAGTTGCAACGCTCGCCAGTGTCCTGTGTCCAGCAATGCACTGGCATCTCGAACGCCTTTTTGCAAGCGCTCAAGAATGCCGGTGCCAAGCAAAACACGCACTTGGGCAAGTCAGACCGCGAGTTTCCCATCTCGGGCGGCATGTCTGGCATCAACAAGGAGCAGCTCTCGTTGGATCTCTTAATCACGGGCCACGAGAACGGAGCCATTAACTTTTGGGACGTGTCAGCCATCTCCATCATGCTCTTGTACTCGGTGGACATCAAGCCTTACTTTGCCGACACGCTTGGCCTGACTACCGAAGATACCGTTGTGACACACGTATCGTTGTGTGCCAAAAGCCGCACGCTGGCTGTCGCGGTCGGATGCGGCACGGCCATGCTCTTCTCTTTCAGTCTGATTGCACAAAAGGTCCAGCTCAACACCATTGTCGTCAAGCGACAAATGACCAAGACCCCGGAAGCCAAAGCCAAGAAGAGCGACAAGGCTGCGGCCGCGGCTGCTGCTGCTGCCGCCGCCGCTGCAGCCAGCGCGGCATCCGAAGGCTCGTTTGCTTCCGACTCGTCGTCCGAGGAGCGCAAAGCGCGTGTGGCACAGCTTCGCATGACTGCTGGCAAAAAGAAGGGCCGGCGCGCCTTGTTTGCAAGCGAGCAACAGCAAAAAGAATGGGACGACAACATGGCCAAGTTGCAGGCGATGGGATTCCAAGACAGCTGGTGCGAGGAAGAACTCGAGCCTGGCACTCTGGCGGAAGCGGCTGTCGCGTTGATGGAGCGTGCCACCGCCGCGCGCATGGAGTACGCCGCCTACGAGGCCAAGCGCCTTGCCAAAAAGAAGTCCCCAACCGACTCGAAAAAGACGTCCAAGAAAATCGAAAAGCTCATGGAGATGGGATTTACCGAGAGTACCAGCATGGAGATGCTTGCCAAGAGCGTCACCATCGAAGATTGCATCTCCCGTCTCTTCCACCGCGCGAACGACATTCGATTCGAGATTGAGCGCGCAGCTGGTCGGAATCCGAGTGCGAAACTCAACAGCATTGCACCACCGTCGCCGCTTCCTACAGCTGCAGCTGGCCCTGTGCTTGACACGGAGCTTCACCTCGCCAACACCAACTACGCCGAAGCCGCCACACTCACCTCCGAGTCGGTCAAGGCGCTCGTCGGGTTTCAGCTGATTGCACATTACACTGTTGTCGAAAAGGATAGCGGCCGTCACATCCGCAACATTAACTGCATTGCCTTCAACTCGGCCTGGCAGCTGTGCGTGTCTTGCGATAAAGAGTGATTTTTGTGTGTGTGTGTGTGGTTGGTGGAAAATGCGTTGTTGTTCCACAGACTCACGCCCAAAGCGTGTGTTGCCAACTCTGGTTGGCTGCTTGCAGGTTTTGTATTGCGGACGAATTTGGTCTGACTGTGCTCTCTACCAAGACTTGGTTGCCTGTATTCACGCTGGCGAACGTTGATCTCCCAGGTATGCTTTACCGCACGACAAACTGAACATTTGAAAAAAGAAAGAACCATGACCACTAACTGTGTTTTGTGTGTTTGGCTTTGCTGCAGTCAACCCGGAAGCTCCCTCGGATGCCACGCGTACTAAGAATGAGATTACCTGCTTGAAGTTGTCCGATACATTTGTATCGACCAAAGGTGACGCGCAATTGCGATTGGAGGTTTTCAACGTTGAATTGGTCGAATTTGGAAACTGACATTGCTTTTATTCGTTGTTTTGCTCGTTTTGGCGATATCATCAGAGCCTGGCCAGCAACCCGCTTTGCTCGTCGGCACTCTTTACGGATCCATCTACACTTTCATGATTCGCATTACTGGAAAGCAGACCTTGTTCAAGGCAGGCCTGGTCGTCAACTTTATGTCACCTTCCCGCGTGCTGTCTATCAACATTCTCGATCCGAACGGTACTGTCGTGGATGCCCCTTACATTGAGTGGGTGGACCTCAGTGCTTTTGAGCACGCTGTCGTGGCCGAGATGGTGGACGAACAGACCAGTCGACCGTCCTCATCGGGTGCCCTCGAGGACGATGAGGATCATGAATTCCACTTCCTCGTTGTTTCAGACACCAAGCACGCGCGCGTTCTTGCTCTTCCTGATCAAAAGCGCCTGTACAAGTTGCCGCAAGACCAAACAATCATGAACGCCGAGATTGTTTCTGTTGGCAGTGCGTCATCCCTTCTTCTTCTTCACCTTGAACGTGGGGCTGAGTTGTACTGCTGGTTCTCACTCGTTTTATTTTTTTGTTTTCTTGTGTTTTGCTTCCTGTCACATAGGCGATGTCGCTTTTGCGCTGCTGACCGAAAACGGCGAAATTCGCGTCTTGTCGCTGCTGGATCTCCGCCTCATGCTCTCCAACTCGGTTTTGGACTCGACTCTGGGCCGGTAGGTCGTTTGGGCGGAAATGTTTGCGCTATTCTCGTGAACTTACCATTTTGTTGTCGTCTCGACAGCGCTGTGGTGGCTACCATCTCTCCGCTTGGCCGTGTTTCTCTCGTGTCTCCATCTGGAGTTCTCAAGCGATGTACCTTGCTTGACAATGCCCCTACGTAGGTTTTCTTCTTCTTTTGGCTGTGATTGATTGCAAGCTAATTGTCACTCTTTTTTTTTTTTCTTTCTTCCGGAACAGAACTGCGCTAAATGACGCCCAAAGTACGTTGTTTGCGCCATTCCGGCAAATGCCTGCAAAGCCTGCGAGTCTGTTTAAGGCGGCCAGCAAGAAGAGCACCACGGACCGAAACGCGCTCTTCAAAGCCTGACGCGAAGGTTGAGTTCGATGATTTTTCAGTGTCATGCAACCCACACCATTTTTTTTTTAGATTGAGTTTGTCAAAATAACATTGTGTACTCGAAAGAAAACTACAACTTTTGAACAAACCAAACCAGCAGTTTAAGCTTGTAATTTGAATCAAACAAAAGAAATCGCCAGGACGACTCAAACGACACAACGAAACACCTCAAGAAACACACACCCCGCCAGTATCACTAGCAAAGCACTGCAGCCAAGTGATGCCACACAGGACGCACGCTGATAGGATGAAATTAACACAAACCGATATTTAAGAATCAACCTGCTCATGAAAACTCGGGAATTCTGTTTTTGTTTTTTCTTCTCTCTTTTAACGGGTGGAGCGCGAGGGAGTACGACTTCGCTGGGGATAGCGACGCTCGGTTGTCGTGTCTTCATCGACAGCGGCGGCGGCGGCGGCAGCAGCAGCCGCGGAAGCAGGGCCGTCGGCGACGACGGGCGCGTCAATGTCCTCGTTGTCGTGCGAGTGCTTGGACAGCAGGGTCGAGTCCAAGCCAGCGGCGTGGGCAACATTGGCGCCAGCCAGCTTGGCCTTGTACTCGAGGAACTCGGCCTTTCGGCGGTCGACACCCTCATAGTTGGGCTCGCGAATGTTCCAGACAATGCCCAGAGCCTGCAGCACCCGGAGAACATAGTAGGTGATGTCAATCTCGTACCAGTAGATGCCCTGGCGACAGACCTTCATGTTGGCGTGGTGGTTGTTGTGCCAGCCCTCGCCGAGGGTGAAGACAGTGACCCACCAGTTGTTCTTGGCCGTGCAACCGGGCTGGTACTGGCAAATGAAGCGCTCGCGCCCCCAGATGTGGTTGGCCGAGTTGACAAGGAAGGTGCCGTGGGAGACAGCCCAGGTGGAGACGACAAAGGCCCAGATAAACACGTCGTAGCCGCCGAGCAAGTAGATGGCAGCGCCGTACAGCGTGGGAGGGATCAGGAAGCTCTCCGACACGGCCACAATCTCGGGGAACTTGACAAGGTCTGGGACAAGCTCCCAGTGGGTCTCGTAGTTGTCGGCGTCCTCAACCCAGAGCATGTGCGACTTCCAGAAGCCGAGGCGGGACGGCGAATGCGGGTCCTTCTCAGTGTCACACTGGCGGTGGTGCTGGCGGTGGTGAGCCGCCCACCAGCAAACGCCCTGCTGCACAGACGTCTCTGCCATAAACGCCAAGAAGAACTGGAATGCGCGCGAGGTCTGGAAGGTCATGTGTGAAAAGTAGCGGTGGTATCCTGGAACACCAAGCCACAAAAACAAACAACCAAAAAAAAACCGCAGATGTGAGCATTGAACTATTGCAAAACCAGAATGTCGAAGCCGAGCAGATTGAAAAAAAAAAAAAAAAGAGCTCAGAAAACAAAAGAAAACAAAAAAAAAAATCAAAAAAAAAAAAAAAAAAAAAAAGAGCAGCAGGCGTAGCAGATGCTCATCGACATTGAAAAGGCGATGTTGCGACGATCGCTGCTGGGCAGCTGACTCTGAAAACTCAACTGGCACAAAGCGATGCCAACACTACACCGCAGGATGGCGGTGGCGATGGACGCCGGGGAAGAGATGTCGCAGCGCGAGAAGATGATCCAAAAAAAAAAAAAAAAGCCCATGCATCAATGTTATGCACTGCGAAAGCAAGCTGGTGGTGATGGAAAGGGACGAGATCACAAGAACAGACCTGCAGTGACAAAGAACATGCGGAGGTAGTAGGACGCGACGGCGAGCGCGAGGAGCTCCCAGCGGAAGGGCACCGTGAAGGCAAAGAGCCAGCCAAAGGCGTAGAAGAGCTGGACGCCACGAGAAATGAGGAACTGCCCAGTCGACTTGGACTTGCCGGCAGCCAGCTTGGACGTTCCCAGGCCGACGATCGCCATTGTGGGTGCTACGAAATCGAAAGGGAGGGAGGGAAAGGGAAGAGGTGGTCGCGGTGTGTGGAAGGGGGTTGGAGTGATACTGAACGAGAAAGCAACAAAAACAAAAACAAAGACAAAGACAAAAAAGCAAAACTGCTTCAAACATGATTCGAGATTGCTCGATGTATTCTGCCGAAACTCAAATTCCAAGCAAACAAGGACAACAACAACAACAACAACAACAACAGCGAAAGACACAAAATGACACAAAACAACACATCAAAATAAAACAACTGGACTTTTTTTTTTGTTTTTTGCTTTTGTTTTTGTTTTTTTAAGCAGCGTTGCGCTCGGCCTCCTCCAGCTGAGCCAGAATGAGATCGCGATAGTCGTCAAAGTCACCGTCAAACTTGATGCAGTCGCGCTCGTCGCAGACCCACAGCTGGCACTCGGTCTCGGTGATGAGACGTGCATCGTGCGACACAACAACCACACCACCCTTGAACTGCTCAATGGCCTCGACCAGCGCATCGATCGACTCGATGTCGAGATGGTTGGTCGGTTCGTCAAAGAAGAGGATGTGCGGCTCTTGGAAGACGAGCGCGGCAAAGACGACACGCGCCTTTTGACCGCCAGACAAGTCACGAATCGGGATGGTGTGGGCATGGCTCACAAGACCAAAGCGACCCAGCTGCGCGCGGCATTGCTCGTTCACCTTGTTGAACGTGTTCATGAGGTACTCGGTGGGAGAAATGTCCATGGGCAGCACGTCGACAAAGTGCTGGTTGTAGCGGCCGATACGCAGCTTGCGGTTGCGACGGACCTCACCCTCGGTCGGGTTGAGCTCGCCAATAATCAGGTTGAGCAGGGTCGACTTGCCGACACCGTTCGGGCCCACGATGCACATGCGCGTGTCCATGGTGACACCCATGTTGACATCATCAAAGAGCTTGGGGCAGTTCGGGTAGTTGAAGCCAACGTCCACCACCTCAATGATCGGCGGGGGCAGCTGCGGCGGGTCGACAAAGTGGAAGTTGACAATGTAGTCGCGCGGCTTCTCAATCAGCTCGAGCTTGTTGCCAACGTCGTCGTCGTCAACGTTCTTGCCGGCGGGCTTCTTGCCGCCCTTGGCGACTTGCAATCGCCGGGCCTTCTCAAGCGCGTCCTTGGACGAGTGGCCAGCAGCCTTGAGCGCCTTGAGCTGCTTTTGCTGCTTCTCCCACTGCTTCTGCTGCTCGACAACCTTTTGGGCGTGCATCTTCTTAAAGTCAAAGTAGTTGCCACGGTAGTAGTGCAGTTTTCGGTCTTCCAAGTGGATGATATCGGTGCAGACCTGAGGACGGTGAAAACCAAACAAAGCAAAACAAAAAAAAAATTAAAAAAAAAGCAAATGGTTGTGCGTTGGTGCGATTGCAGATTCTCTCCGACAAAATCCACTTCTCCCATCAAAAGAAAAAAACTCGCGACTCACCGAATTCAAAAAGTCTTGATCGTGGGAAACGACAAGCAACATCTTCTTCCAGGTGGACAGGTAGTTGTCCAGCCAGATGACGGCGTTCAAATCGAGGTGATTGGTCGGCTCATCAAGCAACAGGAGCGTAGGCTCGATGAAGAGAGCGCGCGCCAAGGACACACGCATGCGCCAACCACCAGAGAACGAGTTGGTTGGTCGTCGTTGCATTTTGCGGTCAAAGCCGAGACCAGCCAAAATCCGTCGCGCACGAGATTCCGCGGAGGCAGCTCCAATGGCCTTCAGCTCGTCAGTGACTTGTTGCAGGCGTTTGGTGGCTTCCGTTGAGGATTTCTGTTGAGGACGAGAATATTAAAGAATGAGTTTTCCCCCTCGGCCAGGAACCGACCAAAAGTCCACCAAATAGAATGCCTCTGCTTACCACTTGCAACTCGGCCAGCAGGCGCTTTTCTTCTTCCAGCAGATTGATGCGGACAGTGTCGGCGCGCAAAACGGCTTCCACAACGGAGGTGCCGTCAGCCTCGATTTCTTGCTCCACATAAAGCACATCAATGTTCTTGGGAATGGCAAGCTCGCGGTTTGCAATGTGGCGCAGCAGGGTGGTTTTGCCGCGACCGTTGGGACCCAGCTAGCGCACGTTGACAAGCAAGCCAAACAAGAAAAAGAAAAAGGAACAAAAAAAAAACACAGAAAGAAATAAGAACCGGATGAGCGCAAGTGCGAGATGAGGGCCGCGTCTTCAAAAGCACACAAAGATGAACAAGGGGTTGTGAATCGCAAGCAGGGGTATTCTTACCAAACCGTATCGTCGACCAGGAACAATGGTAAGGTTGGCGTTGACAAACAAGTCCTTGCCACCAGCGGAAATGCTAAAGCCGTCAATCTTGACATCCGTCGCATTGTCGCTGACAGACTGCGAGTTGAGGTTGGCTTGCTGGACGGAGAACTGCGAAATGCCGGCAGGTCCGCGAGCGGCAGCAATCTTGGCCTCACGTTCACGCAACTTACGAGCCTTGCGCTCCTCGCGACCAGTGAGCTCTTCCTTCTCGTCATTCTCCTGCGCAAAGAGGTGTGTTTGCAAGTGAGTTACTGTCCCGAGACAACAAAACCAAAACAAACCAAATGCTCAACAATCACTTCCGAACAACCGCCCGTCGTACCTCGTCTTGCTGGGCATCTTCGTTGTACATGCCTCGAGAATATCCCTCATCATCATCATCGTCGTCGTCAGCGCGAGCCTTGCGTGGCTTTTTGCCCTTGGATGCGGACTTGGCAGCCTCGGTTTCCTGCGGCTTGTCGCCGTCCTCGTCCTCATCGTCGTCGCCATACGTCTCGGAGGCCTTGCTGGCCTTGCGCTCGGCCTCGTCGGCATCATCGTCGTCGTCCTCGTTGCGATCCTTGGTGGTCGAGCGACCCTTCTCCTTGTTGGCAAGAGCGCGCTCGCGTGCGCGCAGTTTTTTGGCGCTCTTGGCTTTGCGATCATTCGACTCCGCTTCAACGACCGGTTCTGGGGCAGCAGCCGCGGCCGCGGCCGCGGGGGCAGCCTCTTCCTCGACAGCCTGGGACTCTTCTTCTGCTGCAGCCGCCTCCCGGTTGCTTTGGCGAGTAAGCTTTCGCTGGGCTTTGAACCACGAGTAAACTTCTTCTTCCGACAAGCCCACCTTGGCAGCAATTGCGGCAAGTTGCTCATCGTCAGGACGGGAGTCCTCGTTGAATGCACGGTTGAGGCGGCGAAGTTGCTTCTCGTCCAGCTCGGACTTTGACTTTTTCTTCTTCTTGTCGCGTGCAGCTTCTTCCGCCACTACTTCGGCCGGTTCCTCTGCGGTAGCAGCAGCAGCAGTTGCTTCGCTCTCGCCATCCTCGTCGGCATCGTGCTTCTTCTTTTTCTTCTTCTTTTCCTTGACAGGGGCCTCTCCAGCATCATCGACGGGGAGCTCTGCATCTTCGGGCTGCTCTTCTTCTGGGTCTTGCTTGGACTTTTTGGACTTTTTCTTCTTTTCCTTGACAGTGTCCTCAGCAGCCGGCTCCTCCTCGACAGGCGCTTCATCAGCGGGTTGATCCTCCTCGGCCTCCTTGGCAGCAGCCTTCTTTTTCTTCTTCTTGTCCTTCTTTTCTTCTGCTGGCTCGGCCTCAGCCGCGGCATCTTGCTCTTCCTGTTCCGCTGCAGCCTTCTTGGACTGCTTCTTGGGCTTGGACTCGGTGACTGGCGGTTCTTCTTCGGGCGCGTCGTCGTTGTTCTCGACCAGCATGTCATCCATGTCGTTGTCTTGCTCGGCTGCGCGGCGATTCTTCTTGCTCGACTTGCCGCTGGCCTTTGACTTTTTAGAAACCACCGTGAAGGGGTTGGCGTCCTCCTCCTCCTCCTCGCCGCCATCGGCAGTGGACAGCGTAGCAGCCATCTTGGTTGCAAGTGCAGACACAGTGCTGTCGTCGGCATCGTCTCCACCGTCGTGCTTTGAGCCCTTTTTGGATGACTTCTTCTTGGACTTGGACTTGTCATCAGCAATGGATGCATCGGCCAGCGTGGACGCAAGCTGATCGACATCCTCGTCCGCCTTGGACGTGGCCTTTGCACTCGCTGCGGGCGCCTTCTCGTTCTCTTCGCGGAGCTGGTTCATCTCTGCCTCCCAATCGTCGTCGTCATCGCGACTCTTCTTGCCCTTCTTGCCGCCCTTGGCATTGTTGTTCTTGCCTCCAGCAGCAGCAGCATCCTTGCCCTTCTTGCCTTGAGCAGCAGCAGCAGCAGCCGCGGGCTGAGCTGTTTCGACCTGCTCCTGGTCATCGCCTGCCGCCTTCGCCGCACTGGCAGCAGCAGCACTGGCACTGGCACTTGCAGCAGCGACTGCCGCGGACTGGGCAGCCAGATCGACCTCGCCTTGGTCCTTGAGCTTGTTCATCTCGGCCTCCCAGTCGTCGTCGTCGTCATCGCCGCCGCGGTTCTTCTTGCCCTTCTTGCCGCCCTTGCCGCCCTTGGCCTTCTTGCCATCGTCCTCTGCAGCAGCAGCAGCAGCAGCACCCGTCGAAGTAGCCGCCGTAGAAGCAGAAGCGTCCTCGTCGTCGTCCTCGGCGCCATGTGCGCTCTTCTTCTTGCTGGCTGAGCTCTTCTTGCCGCCGCCGCCACTCGATGACGATGACGATGACGATGATGATGATGAAGAGGACTGCTTATCGTGGCTCTTCTTGTTGCCGCCCTTGCCCTTGTCGGTGGTCGCAGCAGCGGGCGCAGGGGCAGTCGGTTGCTCCTGCTCGTCCTCGTCGCTCTCGTCGCGTCGCTTTCGTCCCATCCTGTTCTTTTGCGTTCACGCTTCAAGCAGAAAAGTGTGCAATGGAAAAAAAAGTTTCAAAAAAAAATGAATAAATGGAAATGAGCTCAACCAAAACTCGCTATGAACGGAAACATGAAACTGTTGTTTGATGTGGCAATGATTGTGCAATTGGCTCAGAGTGCAATACAAACACAGGGAAAAATAAAAAAATAATAACAATCTTTGGATCTAGAACTTGGAGGCTTGCACAACAGCACCAATATCGCGAATCGTTTCACCGGCAGACATCCCGGTAAAATACTCGCTCAACGATGCAGCGGTGGGCCGGGCTTGGGGCTTCCATTCCCAGCACGCCCGGACTTGCGCAAACACATCAGGCGGACACATCTTCGGGCACTCCAAACGTTTGCCAGCCTCGAGATGGGCGAGAACTTCACTGATTGGAAGCGACTCGTACGGTGACGCACCATAAGAAAGCGTTTCCCCTGTTGTGGAGCGAGCATATGAGTCGAGTCGTTGGACACGCTGCAAAAGAAACGTTTTCAAGTCCGCAACAAATGCCACACTCACAAGCGAGTACGCCAAACGCCCAGATATCGCTTTGATGCGAAAACTTGCGGAAACTCAAGCATTCCGGAGCCATCCACTGTGCAAACAGAGACGCCCCCCCCCCCGCCCCGATTCAGGTAAGCAACCAAAAGTTAGCAAGTCTGTGCACCAGCCCTTTTTCACAAGCACACACCGCCCCATCGACACGACCAGTTCACGCATGCACCTTGACTGGAAGCCTGCCTTTGTGCTCCATCTTGTAATAGTCGTGCTCCTCGGCCAATGAACGGGTCAAGCCAAAGTCGGAAATCTTGACTGAAAGCCCAACGCCCACGAGACAATTGCGGGCAGCAATGTCGCGGTGAACAAACCGAATCGACTCCAGGTACGCCAAGCCCGCGGCCACCTGAGCGAGGGCGTGACCAAACTCGCCCGCTGTCCAGCGGAGGCCGGCCTGCTTTGACCGGTGCACCACGCTGCGCAGGTCGCCGTGTGGCATGAGCTCCAGCACACACAGATGTGGTTTCGCCTCCAGCAATGTGGCAATGGCACGGACGATATGCGGGTTGTCAAACTGCGAGACCATGCGAGCTTCCTCGACAAATTCCTGCTGAGCACGTTCGCCGGACTCGGGTTGGAGCATTTTGACTGCCACCTCCAGATCAGGCTGCGCTGGATTTGAAAGAAGGTACTGCGCGTCAGCTGGAACAAGCGCGCGAGGGATTCGACCGCGGAGTACGACGCCGAACGCCCCGGAGCCCAATTTGTCTCCGAGAACAAGCCCTGGACGGAGCGTTTGCGTCACGGCAACGGGCTTGTCGTAGATTCGAGGCGAAACCGCATAGTCGTACGTAATTGGGGCAACCGCATCGGCCGGAGCATGATAGAGATTTTTAGCCACTTTGATGTCCGGAGCCGCAGCTGTCTTGGAAGCGCTTGCGGCCTCGCTCGTAGAGGCATAGTGGTAGGTGGTCGAGACTCCTCCAACGGCAGCGTAATTGTAAGTACTCGGAACCGATCCTGCCGTTGCGTAGAACGCTTGACCAACAGAAGCGTAGTCTGACTCGGCTGTCGAGGGAGATGCAACGCCAGCCTTCACAGTCGTCGAGCGATTGGGAGCTTGAGAAACCGCGGTGGGAGTATTGTTGGTGACATTCGATATTTTGCTGAGTTCGCTCTCGCGGATGGGGACCAGCTCGGACTTGCTGAGCCGGTCGATCGTTGCTGCTTGGGCTTGCTGCCGCCGGCGTCTGTGCCTGAGAATCAGCGCCATCACAACAAGAAGAAGCACAACGCCGGCTATCGCCCCGGCAATCGCTGCGATAGGCGCAGATGCTGCATCCGACGATGGCGGGAGGTTGAGGATGGAGACGGAGGCAACAGAAGCAGCCGATGTTGCAGAGGCAAAAGAGGCGGAGGCAGCCGATGTTGCTGATGCAAAAGAGACGGAGGCAGCAGATGTTGCTGACGCAAAAGAGATGGAGGCAGCAGATGTAGCCGAGTCAGAAGCAGCAGAAGCAACAGAGGCTGCTGATGCAATGGCAACGGAAGCAGCAGACGTCGCCGAAACAAAAGAGACCGAGGCAGCAGACGTCGCCGAAACAATCGAGACCGAGGCAGCCGATGCAGCAGAAGTTGCTGATACAAAGGCAAAGGAAGCGGCCGAAGCAGCAGAGGTTGCTGATACAAAAGCGACAGAAGCATCGGAAGCGATCGAGGCCATGGCATCGACACATGATTGGGTGTAGCACTGTGTGCAGACGGATCCACTCGTGCAATACAAACAGCCAGCGGGGCAGCACGCGCCCGGACCAGAGCCGTAGCATGTTGCGCACTGCGAGTGACACGCTGGAGCAACGCAAAAGAACACGTGAGAGTATTTTCAACAGAGAGAAAAACAAAAAAAGATCGACAGGGTGGTCACGTACGGAGTGGGCTGGAAGCAGTTCCGTAAGTGCTCGGAGGGGCATTTGTACTGGTAGCTGCAAATTGGTGAGAGGCAAAGTTGACAGATTGCAATGCCGTCAGGTTCTGGAAAAGACCCGGAGGCAGCGTGGTGAGAGGTCCTTCCAAACGTCTGAATGATGCAGATTCCAACCAAAAAAGGGGGGAATGCAAGTCAGTCCGGGTACGAGCGCAGTGCGCAAATCTACAACATTGACGAGAGCTCTTCTGACAGGCGGGTCAGGGCTGACAGCCCTCGGAACGACGCCGAAGCCAGCTGGGTGATTGGTCCGTTCAACTTCCTGGTAACACCCGTTGAACAATTGGAGTCAGGTTAAACCCGCAAGAAAGACAATTCTCATGACAAGCACTGTGTTTCGTTTCGCAAGTGTTTACAAGTCGCGAAGGTTGGCAAGATTGGAAAACGCATCGCTGGAGACTTGAGTGATTCCCAAAAGCGCTCTGTGGACAGCGCAATGAGGCAGCAGTTAAGAACGTGAGACCTTGTGGGGAGTCTGACCTTCCCTACCCTTCGACGAGACTTACACTTCCCGCAGAGAGTTCAGACCGAACGATGCAAATGCACCCGTTGGGATGGCGGCAGATGAATATGAAATGGTTCTAGCAGCACCAATGGAAAATCCGAAATCAAGGTAGTGAGCACAAAAAATCGCGTCCTGTTCGTGGAAGGGGGAGGGAAGCGGGCGCAGAGTCCATACAGGGCAGTCAACAAAGACAGGCCGTCAAGCGCAACGGAAGGAGCACTCGTTGCTTGAAAGGTCACCGCCCTGTCATAAAGTTGGTTTCAGTGAGCATACCAGCGCATCGTTGGAGTATCGAGGACGACACATACAGGAAAGTGAGAGTCGGCGGAAGCACGTTGAGGGGAATGGAGGTGAGGGGGCCGGAAATCGACCTGCATTAGCAGTACAAACAAAGAGTCAAGACACGTGTACCAACGATCGCCTCAGCCTCGTCATCGCGTCATGTGGGTCTCACACTAATTTCAAGTGGTTTAGTCCATTGAAAGCTCCAGGAGACACCTGTCCCACGTTGGGTGATAAGAAGCTGACGTTTGCAGGTGAGAGGAGAACGAAACGGTCGCGTCAGAATGAAACAAAAGAAGAAAAGCAAGGGCAAAGCTCAATGCCGTAGCCCTACATGTAGATTAAATCGGGGAATCCAGTAAATTTGTTTGCAAGAATGGGTTCGGGCGATGTGAAGCGCAAGCCTCTGTCTCGTAACGTAAGGAACAGGAAAGGAAGGTTGAGTTAGGCAAAGCCAGTCAAACAACGCGGCATCCAACAAGTACTGACAGGTTGGTAAGCCCCGGAACAAAGGTTGGAAGATTTGAAACGCCCGCGGTCCACTTTTCCGTCATAGTTCTGTCACATAGTTTGTCACGGCAGCACAAAATGAGCACCACCGCCGACCGAAACCAGCACAAAGTACAACAAGTGCACAAACAACAACGCAAACAACACAAAATGACTTGCAGAGATGTCAAGGAACCGCAACCGACGAAGGTGTTTGGATCAGTGCTCACCACGGTCGCAGGCAAGATTCTAAGGCAAAGCAGTTTGTTTAGTCTCGACAATACAAGGGCGAGTGACCTCTCCACCGAACGCATAAGCATCAAAGCAACATGCATACAAATTGGTGAGTGGCGCAACGTTGCAGACGTTGGCGCCGACACTTGTAATTTGCGTCTGGACCAAATCTCTGCGTTATTATTATTATTTCACCGATGTGAGCGAAATACTCTGGCAGATGCAACCGACACTCTTCACTTACAGGTACGTAATGCTTGCATTGAGGATTGGGAATTCCGTGACTGGGCTGCAGGTGGTTGCTTCAGTATTGGTGCAAACGCAGACGCTGCACAATTCCGCAGGAGCAGCACGAGCACCGTTCGTCACGATCAGCAACCCGCCGAGCAGGAAGACTGGCCAAAATTGCATCATATTTTTCGAAGCGAAATAAAATGATCTAAGACAGCGTTCACAAACTTGGTCAACAAAAGTGACAAAAGCAGAAAAATGAAACAAAAAAAAAAAAAAAGGAAAGAAACAAAAAAAAAAAAAAAAAGAAACAAGAGCACAACAGAGCACCAAGCCAATGCCAACCCCAAAAAAGACCAAATAGATAGTAGACATACACACACAACCTCAATCGCTCATCCAACCAACCCGAAGCACACACGCACATCGCTCCCCTGTGGTTCCTGGCGTCATAGATCATTTTTTTTTCCCTGTTGACAGTCCCTCCCCCGCAATGCTGGTGATCTTGCGCTGTCGACGTCACAGCCTCGCTCACTCGCCCTTCCCCCGCCCGCCACAGTTCAAGGCTGGCGATGCCATTCGGGTGGACGACGCAGAGGGCGCTTCGAGCGAGAGCGATCTCGACAGCGTGGTGTGGTGTGAAGGTACCCGCATTCCCACCATCAACAAGCCAAAAAAAAAAAAAAAAAAAAAAAAAAAAAAAAAAAAAAACCTCACCGCAACAACAAATAACAAATGGCAAGTGAAGAAAAAGACTGGCGGCTGTTGTCTTATTGCTTGCATGCAAAAGCATTGAGCTTGTGGATTGAACATGACGCAATGTCACGAAATGCCGGATTGTGTGTGATCTTTGAACATCAGTGATTGGTGGAATGCTCAAACACGAAAGAAGACGACAGGGTTTCATTTCATTCCATCACGCGACGACACTTCAAAACCTCGGTTGCACCCCTCTTTCTGATGGCTGTGCGGTACACTGGGTCTAAGCTTGCATGCCAGCGCCTCGCTTTTTGAATTTGTGATTCTGCCGAGGGGACACTCAGGATGAAGCGGAGCGGAGGTGTGAAGTTTGGGCAACAACCAGCAGCGCAAGCAGCAGCACACGAGTCCCAATCGCGCTGAAAGCACTGCATCCAAGTGTTTGTTCCACGTTGATGTTGCCTTCACAGTAATCACAGAGTTTATTGCATTGTGGGAGTCGGTCGGTCGATTGTGGCTTTAAGCTCAAGCGACAACCAGAGTCAGACGACTCACAATCTCAATTTCTGTTTCGCTCATCCATGGTTTTGAATTGCATTATGCAAGGCCTTCATTCATTCCGAAGTCACTCCTTTACTTTGTTTTTTCTCCCAAACTCAAACAGTCACCATGAGCGCTTTGGTCGAGAGCAACCTTCCTGCATTGACGCTGCTTGCTCGCGGCAAGGTCAGTTTCAGCGGCCACCATTTCCTTCCGACGCAGCAGCTTTTGCGCTCCCGTCTGCTTGCTTTTTGTTCTTGCCACCATCCAACGCGTCATCTGTGGGGGGCTGGGTACTCGCACAGCGGGGTGGTGGTCCAACTTGTCACAGGCTGTTAAATGGGAGAAGCGCAAGTCCGACGTCCTTCGTGTCCGTGTCGCTGTTCCATCGCGTGCGAGTGTCTCTTCTTGTTCTCAGAGGGCAGTGTTTTATTAGGCTTCTGTGCAATCCCAGCACACTCCATCCAAGCGAGAGAAGAGACGAGAGCAAGCAGGCGCCCATCATCGCTGCGACTGAGTGACAGTCCACACAGTCCACAGCAACCCTCGTGGTTTGGCCTTCCACTTCCCCTTCACTGTCCACTTCCCCTCCTTCACTTTCCACTTCTCCTCTCCTTCACATTTCCACTTCCACTTCGATTGCTTGTGTTGTTGTTCCCGAATTGGCATCACTCTTCAATCTCAGCTTTTACTTGAAATCGTTCTCGTTTTGCGAAGGGTGAAAAGTCGAGTCGCACTGATCCTTCCACCACAACAACTGTCACTGCAACAACAACCACTGACGTTGGGGGGTTTTGTTACTTGTTATTGTTGTTCGTTGTACTTTGTCCTTTGCTTTGAAGGTCCGCGACGTCTACCGCATCGATGACAAGTCACTGCTGTTTGTCGCCACAGATCGCATTTCGGCCTTCGATGTTGTGAGTATGGAATTGTTATGGATGTGATGAGTTGCTCAGAATTCTGAAAAAACGAAAAAAAAACCTTACTGGTCATCCGACATTATTACGCGACAGGTCATGAACAATGGCATTCCCGGAAAGGGCAAAATCCTCAACCAAATCTCCTTGTTCTGGTTTGACCTGCTCAAGGAGGTCGTCCCGTGCCATCTCATCACGGCCGAGATTGACGAGATGCCCGAGGTCGTGCGCCAATACCGCGACCAGCTCGAGGGTCGCAGCATGCTCGTTCGCTCGCTGAACATGCTTCCGATCGAGTCCATTGTTCGCGGCTATGTTGCCGGCTCTGGCTGGAAGGAGTACCAACAATCCAACACCATCTGTGGCATTGCGCTTCCCGCTGGCCTCACCGAGTCTGCCCGCCTTCCTCAGGCCCTCTTCACCCCAAGCACCAAAGCCGAGCTTGGCACCCATGGTACAGTAGGCCTCGCTGAATTGTGTTGCAACCGACAATCGTCCCACAACAAAACTGACTGTTTGTTTACAAAAAAAAAAATGTGCAGACGAGAACATTCACCCCGATAAGGCCGCCGAGATGATTGGCAAGGACCTGGCCGATCGTATGGCTGCCACTGCGCTCGAGCTCTATACCAAGGCCAGCGAGTACGCCTTGACTCGCGGCATCATCATTGGTGAGTGCCCCATCATCTTTGCGCTCTTGCTGTTTTGTTCATTGACTTTTTTTTTTTTTTTTTGGCTGACTTTTCCCTGTCCCTTGTCTCGCTTCTCCATGGCTCTTGCACAGCCGACACCAAGTTTGAGTTTGGCATCCACCCGGAGACCAACGCCCTGATCCTCGGCGACGAGGTGCTGACACCCGACAGCAGCCGCTTCTGGCCCAAGGACAAGTACGCCACCGGCCGTGCGCAAGACTCGTACGACAAGCAGTATGTGCGAGACTACCTAGAGAGCATCAAGTTCAACAAGAAGGACCCCGTCACCCTTCCCGAGGACGTTGTGCAGAATACCCTTGCCAAGTACCAGGAGGTGTTTACCATTCTCACCGGTCGCAAGGCAGCATTGTAGTCCATCGTGTTACTTTGTTTTTGCAGGATTGTGTTATGGTTGGCCTTTTTTTTGTTGTTTTTGTGTTTGCAGAATGCAAATCAACACGATCATGGAGTTGAAAACCAAAAATCTCGCATCGACTGCAATTGCCTCGCTCTTACCCACGCAAATTGAAACTAATAACCACGACGTGCTGAAAAATGACGAGCGAAAATGACGGGACGACTAACCCTCATTCGTACATGACACTAGACCACCAGTACCACATTTCCCGCTTGTCATCAAGGATCCAACGAAACAAGGATGCTACCAAACGATGGACGGTCATCGGCAGCTTCGTCAAGACACTCCATCGCAAGCGTGACAAGCTCGCTGATGCTCTGGAGCTCTGCCTCGCTTGGTTTGAGGGCCGAGTCCAGCATCTCAACAAATTTCTGGGTTTTCACAGCCTTGCGCATATCAGTTTTCAGTCTGGGCCCGGGCTTGGCGGCGGTCGCGAGCTCGAGCAAAATCATGCCAAATGCATAAACGTCCGTCTTGATGGTCATTCTGCCCTCGATGAGGAACTCGGGGCACATGTAAGCCTTGGTACCTTGGACGTTCGATGTGCGAAGGTAGCTCTGATCATCCAGCTGGGCAGCACGAACAAGACCAAAATCAGCCACTTTTGCGTTAAAGTACGCGTCCAATAGCACATTGTCTGTCTTGAGGTCGAGGTGGAACAATGCATGGTCAGGAAAGGCTGTCTGGACGTAGTGCATGCCGCGGGCAACATCGGCCGCGATGCGATGGCGCTGAGACCAGGTCAGCGGAGGAGTGTTGTTTTTGCGATTCAAACGATCGCGGACCGATCCGTTGGGCATGAATTCGTAAACCAGGCATCGCTCGTCGCCTTCTTCTGCATACGAAAGAATGGCAATAATGTTTGCGTGGCGGAATTTGGACAAAGAGTCCAGTTCCGACTTGAATTCGACCGTGCCTTGCTTGGATTCGGCGGATAGCTTTTTGATGGCAACACGAGGGCCAGGCAGACTGGCGCTGTACACACGACCAAATGCTCCTTCGCCGAGCAGAGAATCAGTGGCAAAGTTGTTCGTGGCGGAGACAAGCGTTGCGAGAGGCACTTGTGGGACGGGTCCGTCAAAGTTCGAAAAAGATCCACAGGCGGCTTGGTTGCGTTCAAGTACATCGATCTGATCAAGAGCTGACTTTAGTTCACGATTCTTGGCAGCAAGCTCCTGATCCTTGGCAACGAGCGCCTGAGCTTTGGCGGTAAGCTGCTGGTCTTTGGCAGCAAGATCGGATCGAAGCTGCTGCAGCGTCTTATCTTTGGCAGTGAGATCGGAGCGCAATTGCTGAATCTCTGCCACGTTCGCAGCGGCACGAGCTGCAATCTGCGCCAGTTCGGCAGACGACGGAACACGCTGCTGGTCAAGGCCGCTGTTCGGAACCCAAGTTCGCCAAAAGCAGGTGAGTGGCTTGTTGTTCATGCAAGAATCCCATAAACAAGCAGTCTTACTCCAAGTTACAAGTGATATTGCCCGTTTGCCTGAGTGCATTGATTCCGGTGTTGGTCAGGAAATTCTCGTTCAAACTGTTGTTGTTGTCAATTACATCGTCAGATTGGAGCATGAGTTTAACGGCTGTCAGAGCATCTTGTAGCGATCAATATTTACTATAGCATTGTCAATGTCTTGTTCACTTTGAGTGCCTCAGCAAGCGCCTGTGCTCCAGCATCGCCAATCTGATTCTGCCACAGACTGTCCATCCCCTCCATCAATGAGCACTCTTCTGAATCGCCCACTCTCACGCACCAACAAGAGTGAGATGCCTTACAAGAGCGTAGTCAGCGTCTTGGTCACTTTGAGTGCTTCAGCAATCGCCTGTGCTCCAACATCGCCAATCTGATTCTGTTGTAGACTGACCAAGCTCATCTCAATGAGCACTCTTCTGAATCACACACTCGCATACATAAAGCGAGGTGCCTTACCTGAGCGTCGTCAGCGTCGTGTTCACTTTGAATGCTTCAGCAATCGCCAGCGCTCCATCATCGCCAATCTGATTCGTGTACAGACTGTCCATCCCATCCACCAGTGAGCACTCTGACGACCCTCTGATGGATCACCCCTCACAAACTTCAATTAAAGTGAGATGCCTTACTAGATCGTAGTCACTGTCTTGTTTACTTTGAGTGCGTCAGCAATCGCTTGCGCTCCAGCATCGCCAATCTGATTCTGATGAAGACTGTCCATCCCCTCCATCGGTGAGCACTCTTCTGAATCGCCTAATCTCACACATCAGTCAAAGTGGAATGGCTTACCCGAGCTCAGTTAGCGTCGTGTTCATTTTGAGTGCTTCAGCAATCGCTTGTGCTCCAGCATCGCCAATCTGATTCTCACCCAGACTGTCCATCCCCTCCATCAATTGGCGCTCTTCTGAATAACCCACTCTCATGCATCAGTCAAAGTGAGATGACTTACTAGACCGTAGTCAGCGTCGTGTTCACCTTGAGTGCATCAGCTATCGCAATCGTTCCAGCGTCGCCAATCTGATTCACACTCAAACTATCCCCTCCATCAATGAGCACTCTTCTGAATCAACCACTCGCATACATCAGTCAAAGTGGAATGGCTTACTTGAGCGTAGTCAGCGTCTTGTTCACCTTGAGCCCCTCAGCAATCGCCAGTGCTTTTGCGTCGCCAATCTGCTTCCCTTTCAGACTGTCCACCCCTCCATTTTCGTCAGCACACTCGCGCTGCTAACACTGTGTTCCAAATCAACTCGGGCTTTGATCTTACATGAGCCTTTCACTCTCATTTTTGACTTTGTCATACAACTCGCGCTGTCTCTGATTCATATTCTGATACAACAGCATGTTGGAAGAGTGTTGTTCAATCAAAGCAGCGAACGACGACTGTCCCCGTCCTCACCCAAAACAGAACGCATGCGGTACAAGTACGCAAAAAGTATGATCGAAATTGAACACATGTTCATGACAAATCCCAACAGAATCGGGGTGGGAGGGATGCGGTCAGAGCAAAAGCAAAACGAGCGAGCAATTTCAAATTCGCATGCACTCAAAGTCACTTGGTGAAACTCGCAGATTGGCACTTTTCTTTGAGTATCGTCATCTTTGTCAACCAATCAAGTGGAAACGCCAGCAGTGGCCATGGTGCTATTCAGAACGCATTCGCCGCTCGACCGACTTCGAACGCCCAACCCGTTCTCCACGTCGCCGAGCACCTTTTTTTTTTTTCTCAGCATACAAGGAGACATTTGGGTAGTAAAACCACTTTGCGAGCCTTGTCGCGTCCAACGCCGACCCGGAGACCCGGCACATCGTCGATAAGCCTGTCAACTCGAGCGACCACTCAATGACTGCACCAGTGCACCAATTCTTCACTCAGAATATCTCTCATTCTAGCTACAAATACAATTGATACAATATTCACACGTATTCAAACGCCATGGCATCATGAAGTGCTTTGGAGTTGGAAGCAGCTCTGGGAATGGCCAACTTGGTGCAGCTCCAGCCTCTTGTCAGCGGGCAGACCGCGCTTGCGATGGCGACGTCTTTCTGTAGCGTCTGCTATGCTTGTAACCAGTCATGGATCCGCTTCAACGGCGGCTGCGCACTGGGTGCAGATACAGCCACGCCAATCTTGAGACGTAAAAACAGAAGTGAGCTCAAATCGGTCACTTCCCTTACTTGTACCGCTGGCAGTCTTGCGGCACTCGGTCCTCGCTGCACACCAATGCGTGTTAAAAATCATTCAAATGTAATACAAGTGAACGCTGACGTCAAGCGTGCGGTGTGCGCTGAAAAACGAAGTTGATCGGTTGTTGCGTTGTTTGTCGCGATGGGTGTCACATCCGCGAGCTTGATACCGGCCTGTGACAAAAATTGTGAAGTATGATGATTAGCGCATTCATTGTCGTGAAGTTATGCTCAAAGAATGTCAGCAATTCCAGTCCAGTGGCAGTAACAGCATGGAAACATAGGGTTCAAAGAACGCCTGCGACCGGCTTCATTTTTCGCGAATGTTCGCTTGAAAATGGCGGAAACCGCGCCCCACACACCAGAATACAACATGGCGTTAGGACGACCACTCAATATAGTATTATTCAAAGCAACGAGCGGGGCAAAAGGGGCCAATGCAGCGACAGGACAGGCAATAACACGAAACGAGTGAGCTTGTCCTCACCGTTTGCGTGTCTTTTCGCGGTGTTTCGTGCTTCTTTTCTCGACTTGTAGTGTTCTGAGATATTATGACATATTGTCCAATCGAGGTACGCGCGATTGGAGCAGGATGAGAAAGTGTAGTTTCATGCCTGCGATCGAAACCCATTTCGCCTGCCAATGTCAGTGTTTTCTTGCTCAAACTCGAGAACTTTCCCACCGAAGACTGCTAATTTCGAAGGCAACTTCACTTTCGCAAAGGGGAGCAACGTCTTGAAACAAGTCGGCAACAGGACATGCACGCCAAAGTCATTCTGCAAAATGGTACAGCGTCAATCCAATATTCAAGGCGCTTTCCTGCACAATAGCCAACCAAACAATCAAAGACGCGTACAGCAATCGACGACAACAAGTATATTGAACATAAAGTTTCCCAACAAATCGAGACCATCGAGAAAAAACAAAACAAAAACAGAAAAACCCTGAACAAAAACGTTTGTGTTGGGAAGAAGGAGGACAAGGCTGCAAGCTCCACTTCCTTCAACGCGGAAGGAAGGAAGGAAAGCATACAAAAGAAACGACAAGGCAACAAGAATAATAGAAAACAATCATATCAGATACAAGTTTACTCGGCAGTCTCGCCATCACCACACACACACATGCACAGCATGATCAGTCTATCTACTTTACTGGGGATGCAGAGTTTGACGCGTCGCAGTGCGCGATTGCTCGCTTCGTCCGCCACCGCCATCCATGCCGCCCCGGCCACACATAACACGCCTTCCAAGAGCGAATCCCCTCTCGTCCAATCGACCCGGGCGGAATCACGCGTGGCATCGTCGCCTCGCTCCAAACGCACGCACTCGCAAGCGACCGAGCCAAGTGCTGCTGCTGCTGCTGCTGTTCCCTCTCCGAGTCACTCGATCGCCGCCGAGGCACAGAGCACTGAGCAAGCAGCATCCTCAAGCAGTAGTGCACCTTCTTCACGCTCAAAGCGAGCTCGGATTCAAGAGCCGGCCGAGCAAGGCAGCGCGCCAACTCCGACAACCGCTGCTGCCAAGCCAACGGTGGCGCGACGTGCCAGGACGAACAAGAGCACCAGCAATGATTCCAGCTCCAACTCAACGATTGCAAGTGTCAAAGTAGAGGCTGCAGACCAAGCAATTCCGGCTGCAGGCTCCTCTCCATCAGGAATCGGCAGTTTGCCGCTGTCGACCTTGTCAACCACTGTTTCGCGACTCGTTGGCTACCACGTTTCAACAGCGGGAGGCGTGCAAAATGCTCCCGTGAATGCGGCGCTGGTTGGTGCAACGGCATTCGCCATGGACACGCGATCCAAGCGGAAATGGGACTCTCCGCCCTACACGGCGGCGACAATTCAAGCCTTCCGGAAAGCATGTTGCGAACATGGATACCAGCCTCACCAGATATTGCCTCACGGAAGCTACTTGATCAATGCCGGTAGTCCAGTGCCCGAGATCCTGGCCAAGAGCCGCGCCGCACTCATCGAGGAGGTCCAGCGATGCGAGCAGCTGGGATTATCCCAGTACAACTTCCATCCAGGTATTAGATGGATGAAATATGCTAGATTGCTTCCATTGGCTGTCATTGCTTGTCATTGCACGTTGCTCACTGTCGACTGGGTTGAAAAAACCAAAAACCCCAAAACAGGGAGCACGGTTGGACTTTGCACCACAGAAAAGTGCATTGAAACTATTGCGGAATCCATTGATCTGGCTGTCGGGGCTTCAAAGGCTGTGACTGTCGTGGTAGAATCAATGACGGGTTCTGGCAATGTGATTGGAGGTACAAAACAGCAACTCACATGTGGCCCGAGCGATCACTAAGCTCTCTTCTTCGTTTGCTGGGTCGGATTGCAGGTAAATTCGAGCATCTTCGAGACATTATCGCGCACGTCAAGGACAAGACTCGGATTGGCGGTAATTATATGAATGTTGCTCGTGCTTCATTGGTGGAATGTTGCATCTCACGCTCTCCTCCATCACTTTGGTTTGGTAGTGTGTCTTGATACCTGTCATATGGTAAAGGAAAGACTGCACTTTTGGGCAGTTGTTGAAACGTAGCGTGCACGAAAGCCCCCCGTGCCCACACTGACTTCCTCTGCTCCGATCTCCTCTTAGTTTGCTGCTGGCTTTGATCTGAGGACAAGAGCCGAGTACGACAAAGTTATGAACGACTTTGACCGGATTGTGGGTTTCCAGTATCTGCGCGGCCTGCACTTGAATGACTCCAAAGGCGAGCTGGGTTGCAATCGGGATCGACACGAAAATATCGGAAAAGGAAAGCTGGGCCTCTCTGTAAGTACCACCACCACCACCACTACAAAATCACTACGCTTCAGTGCTGGACAACTGACTTCGGGGGGGGGGAAGTAGTCATGAGTCAGGCGTTTGACGTGTTCTCTCTGTTTGTGTGGAACCACTCGCCAGGCTTTCGAATTAATCATGAACGACGAGCGTTTCCGCAATATTCCCATGATCTTAGAAACCCCTGTATCAGCAGAAGTCGAATCCGATGGCTACAAGAAGGTAGGTTGTTGGGGCATTGCTGGTGGACCGACTTGAAACTTTGTTTTGTCTGACTTTTACACTGTGGCGAACAATTGCAGGAAATCGAATTGCTACAAAGTATGGTTCGAACGGGCAAATAGCAGCGAGGAAGCAGCATTGCTTACACTTGCCCTTTGACTGGGTCCCCGCGCAAAGCAATCACTCGAATTGTACATGAATCAATTTTTTTTGTTTCAATTTTTTCAAATAAGATTTTCATACACATCAATCAAGCTACATTGGCTCAACGCAGGGAACGCTGCACAAACTTGAGGAAGAAATACGGAAGAATTCGCAATGCAGTAGCAAACCCTGCAATGATGCCAATATTGCGCCACAAATGCTCGACCGCGCCAGGGAACATTTCATCAATGTACTGCTCGCCATTTTGGTACTCGCAGGCACTCGGCGGAAGATTGGCGGGACACTCGAGCTGCAAACCCTGATACTCGTTGGCGACCATCACCTCCGAGGCGTACTTGTGGAGCGTGGCGTAGCCCATGTACTGCAAAAAGACGGGGATGGACTGGGTGGATCGCAAAAAGCCAGAGGCCACCAAGGCGGACGCTGAAATGATGAGCGACGCGGCCTGGTTGGCAACGGTTGTCTCGTAGAAGAAGGAAAGCGTCAAAAGACCAAGGCTCTCGCCAAACAGCTGCAAGAAGTACATGACCGTCGTGAAAATGCAGAAACGAGCAAAGCTCGAGTAGAGCCCGACCGCCCAGTAGGAGAATCCCGAAAACAGCAGAATGGCAGTCACGTCCGTCCACAAGGCGTGCAGCGTGTACGACAGGAGGAACGCCGACGCGCCATACAAGCCGTCGCGCGATTCTCGATAAAACACGTCTCGTTGCGTGGGAACTGTGAGGACGCAGTGGTGAGATTCTCAGAGAGTGAGTTTGTCAGTCGCATGCAACAGAGTCTCAAGCCAGCACTTACATAGGGCCATGGCATTCAACATGCCAATGAAGACGGGACCAGAAATGGCCTCGTACAAGAATCCAGTGCGGTTTTGTACGCTGGGCTGGTCCGTTTTGAGACGAAAGACGAAAATGAAGATGAGAACACCAAACAAGAGCTGCTGGGTCAGACGAGCATTGAGGCCGTCGGCGTCGCGGCGGAGGTTGACTGTCGCGCGGCCAGTGAGCGTCTTGACAATGGACAGGTAAGACGCGCGCTTGCCACTGACGCCGCGGTGTTGCTGGGCAGGCTGCTCCACGGCGGCCTTTTGCGCTCCCAGCAACGGGGTGGCCTCGCTCGAGGCAGGCGTCGAATTGACGTTGAGCTGTGGAAGGCAGCTCTCGGATGCTCGATTCAACACTTGGCGCTGCGTCGCAGCTTCAGCAATCTGGGCTACTTGACCTAGTTTGGTTTGCAACTCTGTGTAGGTAGCAGAGCGCTCGTAACAGCCCACCAGCGACTGCAAGATTGCAAAGGAAATATCGAACGTCTGTTGCGAACGATCGTCAACGGTGATTGTATCCACTACGGCAGTTCAACAGTTCAAAGCGACGGACGTGTGTGAGTTTCAAGCAACAAGGACCCAACAACAAACAAAAACAATCGAGACACTTTCCACGTACAAAAGTAATCGAGAGGATTCGAGTACTCGGGACATTCAAAGCCAAGCGTTGAAAAGTACGGCAGCATGTTCTGCGCACTACCAGTGTAGACCGTGTAGCCCTTGGACATGAGCATCACCTGGTCAAAAAGCTGGCAAATGTCCGAGCGTGGCTGGTGAATCGTGAAGATGACGGTGCGGTTGCGCCGAGCCAACTGCGACAGGGTCTTGACAATTGCAGTAGCAGTAAATGCATCAAGACCACTGAGTTGTGGTACACAGATGTTGAATGGAGAGAGAGAGAGAGAGAGAAGAGGAGGAGGAGGTGGAGAAGGCAGTTGAGTTGAGTTTGGGACAAACAAACAACGCTAATGTGAAATTTTTTGCAAACTCGTGCAGTGCACGTTACCTCGTCGGTTCGTCCAGAAAGAGTACACCTGCGACAGCACACAGAGCACGAGTGCCGAATAACAAGGGGCGAGTCAGAAAACACAGTCGAAAAAAAGACTTCTTCTCCATTTTCACGACGCGCCAACTCACTCGGATCCAAGATCATTTGCACGCCGATCGAGACTCGACGCCGCTCTCCTCCCGACAGTCCTCGAGTGTTACCACCGACGCGATTTCCAGCCACATGTCGCAGACCAAGCTCGGCGATAACGCTGTTGACCTGCAGTGTCAAAAAACAAAACAAAAAAAGCCCACGACGGTGAGCATCCGCGCGCTCTTTCTTGATCGTAGAGCCAAGCCAAAACGCAGCACTCTTCTACGCAACTCGTTCCATCTTGTCCGCATCGGTCATCGAGCTTGGCAGCTTGAGGGCTGCAATATAGAACAGCGTCTCAGTGACGGTCAAGTTTGGCAACAACCGATCGTCCTGCATGACATATCCAGCCACGTCCTGCCATAACGCCGGTTGGCACACATACCAAGGGACAATTCGTTGTCGTTAGCACCGTGCTGAGAGTACAGGGCCTAAGCATGCCAATAGGGAACAAGCACCGTACCTGAATGAGCTCTGAGGTGACTCGAGCGCCGTTGAGGTAGATATCGCCCGTCACCGTGCCGCCAATATTTCGGCATGCCAGTACGTCCAACAAGGAAGTTTTTCCAGAGCCTAGTGACGGTGAGTATTTCGGGGATTGTGAGCATGCTTTGTTGCTACCGGTAAAAACGAGAAGCGACGACGACGCCGCGCTGGATTTGTACCTGAGCTGCCGAGGATGGCCATGGTCTGGCCTGCTTCAACAAGGCCATGCGAGTGCATCAGGATGTCCTTGTGGACGACCGGCGCGAACGGGCTTCGGGAGTGCTTGACCTGCGTGTGCACAAGTAATTCGACCAAAGCCAGATGGTCAGTTTCCGAATGGTGCAAAGCCCCCTCCCCTCCGCCTTTGTCTGTCCTGCAATGCCATGGCTAAAGATGGGTCTGTCATCCAATGCTGTAGAGATGCACTTCCCCACCGCCTCTCCCGTGTCTCCCGGACACTTGCCCTGACAGATTTGTGAAACCGCTGCTCCAATCCCACGTCCCAGAACCACACACAACCGAGCCTTCTACCCAATTCTCATCGTAGGACGCTTTTACACATTGTAATGGAGACCCCCAATACGAGAGCAAAGCCACAAAAAACGTGCGTGAGGGGCTTTACCTGGACAGAGTACGAGACATTGCGAAAGGCCAAGCAATGGCCTTCAGCAGCAGCAGCAGCAGCGCTCATTCACAATAATTCACAATGACCGACGACTGACGATAGATCTATAATTATTCAACTATTATTGTCGTTGTATGGCAGTTGACTGCTTTTCTTGGACACGCGAGCGAGCTGGAGTTGATCGTTCTCTGTTTGTTCACCTCGTCACATCACCTTCTCACTTGTTGACTTTGATAATTCGAACGAAGGTGAATCAAGATTATTCCATTTCAAGCTAAGCTCATCTCAGTCGCTCTTTTTCTATTTTGACCTTTTTCACTGTGGCTTTGCATTGAAGGTTAGCACAACTCTTGCATCTGATCTCCCTTCTCTCAAAGCAGCCTGCAACTTTTGTTCACTTCTTCGAATCCATGACTGGTGTGGTGCGATTGAGTTCTGTATGATGAAGAGGGGATGAGAGTGAGAGTGGTGGTGGTGGTGGAGTGGGAAAGGTGCATCACCAGACCTCCACTGGGTCACCATTGCCATTCTCCAATGCAAAACTCAATGCAAAACTCAATGAAAATCAAAAAAAAAAAAAAAAAAAAAAAAAGAAAAAAAAAAAGCGAGATCCACAACAACGCATTCAACCAGCCTTTGTCTGGCTTCTGGGTGCTTCTTGTTCACCGATAGTCTCGCTGCGTCACTCATGATGAGGATGTGTACTCCAACCACGTCGATGTTGAATCCAGCGTCTCACTCCCTCCCTCCTGGGGCGACAACAGCAAACGCAGCTCCAACGCAGCCCGACTCACCCGCTACCATTTCACTTGCTTGTGCTCACAGGGAACACAAGGCTTTCAACCAAAGGAGCGCACACACACACAGGAACAAACAAGAAGGAGCAAACAACGAACAATCAAGACACAAAGGAACCAGCGACAGGAAGGAAGAAAAAAGGCCAAATGAGCGAGAACGAGAACGAGGCACCGCTGCCACAGCAAGAGCAGCAAGAGCAGCAAGAGCAGGCTCAGGCTCAGGCTCAGGCGGACGAGCTCATCGAGACGTCGTTCGAGGACGAGGCGGTCGTCACACGCGTCACCGACGTGCTTGGCGAGGTCGCTACATCCACAGACGGACACGTCGTACACACTCACAACCACCAGAGCAATCACAACGCACAGAACACTCCTGCTCCAGATGAAGACACCACGGCATCAGATGCATCAGCAGCAGCAGCAGCAGCAGCAGCAGAAGCGGAAGAAGAACCACCAGCAGCAGCAGCGCCCGCGCAAGAAGCAGACAAGGACGAAGAATCAACTCGAGCACAAGAAGAAGAACCAGCACCACAAGCACAGCCTGCACCCGTGAAGGAAGACGACGTGGCCCCTGCAGCATCCGTCGAGGAGCCCGTGCACGAAGTAATAAAAGCCGCTCCGGCGCCAGTCGTCGCCATTGCTGAAGCGCCGGCGGTTGCTGCTCCCGAGCCCGCTGTCGTCGAGCCCGCCCCTCTGCCCACACCGGCCGCTGCACCGCCGGCAGCAGCTGTTGTCGTTGTACCCGAGGCAGCCGCTCCCAAAGCCACGGCAGCCGATGCTCAGCTGGCCGCCATCGCCGCCACGGTCGGTGTGACCGGTCCTGCCCCGCTCGGCGCCATCAAGGCCGAGGCTGCCGCTAAACAGGCACAGGAAGAAGGGACCTTGGTTGCTCCTCTCTGTAAGTGAAGTGTTCGAGTTTGGTCGCAGCACTACACACACGTCAATCATATTGTTTCGCTGCTGGATTTTTTTTGTTTTGTTTTGTCGTGCTTCGTTTCTCTGACTCTGCTTTGGCTGACAATCCATCCCACAGCACCCGACGAAGAGCGCGCAGAGGTCGCCGCTCGCTATGCTGCGGGACGCAACAGTGCTCAGACGTACACGGAGGACGAACTTCAGTTTGACGACCTGTCCAAGACAGACCGCTACGGTTTCATCCACAACTCGGTCTTGTCAACAGCTGCTCGCACCAAGGACGAAGAGAAGAGCCTTGAGCGCGAGCGAGAGCGCGGGCTCAAGTGGCACAAGATGCTCAAAAATTGGTCGGCTGTCAACCCGCGTAAAGTCCACGCGCGTGTGTTCAAGGGCATCCCAGACAGCGTGAAGGGCGAGGGCTGGAAGCGAATTCTCGGCACGGATGAGAAGCGCAAAGGCAATCCTGGCACCTATGAGGTACAGACTCGCATGTGTTTTGAGCACTGAGATTCTCTGCGAATGAACAGTTGCTCACTTTGGATGATTTGTTCAACGCAGCACTTTAAAGCCAAGGCAATGAAGCAGTCGACCTACTTGCGACAAATCGATCTGGATGTCAACCGCACGTGGAGAGATCACCAAATTTTTAAAGAGCGCTACAGCATCAAGTGAGTGTGAACCTTTTGATTTGGAATCAACACCAATTGACCTTTGCCGTTGCTTCTATTCTTTCTTTCCGTCACCCCCACAGACAAATCCACTTGTTCAATGTGCTATCCGCATACACCATGTACAACGAGCTTGTTGGGTACTGCCAAGGCATGTCCGGCATCGTTGGACTGTTGTTGATGTACATGGACGAAGAAGTGAGTACCACCCAACCCTGTCTGTCGGTGCCTTTCACACACCTTCAGTTGCTCACTCTGCTTTCCTTCCTCCCCCCACACACAAATACACAAATGATCATTTGGTGCTGCCCAGGACGCCTTCTGGAGCCTAACCACACTCTTCCAAGACCGTATCCACTCCATGAATGACCTGTTTTTGCCAGGGTTCCCTCGGTTGATGGAGCAGTTTGATCTGCACGAGAAGCTCATGAACAACATGTTCCCTTCTTTGGCGCAACATTTCGTAAGCTTCCACTCACGTTTCTGAGCTCGCAAGACTTGTAAATTCCCAACTCACTCGCTTGTTGCACACTCCAGCGACAAGAAACGGTCATGATCTCGGCATACGCAAGCAAGTGGTTTTTGCAAGTCTTCCTCGACAAGGTTCCGTTCGAGTTGACGCTTCGCGTGTGGGACGCCTTCATTTTGGAAGGGTACCGTGTTCCGATTGTGATGGCCATGGTGTTTATCAAGGTTCACAAAGGTATGTTGTCGTGGTCGCACATGGTGTGGGCTAGTGAACATCTCCAGAACGTTTCTCATGCATTATTTTTTATTTGTTTATTATTATTTTTTTGCCGCTGCTGCATCTCTTCATCGACAGCCCGCCTCCAAGCAATGGACTTTGAGGGCATTCTGACCTTTTTGCAAAACTTGGACAAGGAGCCGCACGACGCTGACGCTCTCATCAAGCAACTAGATCGCATGATGGGCACGCTCACCGAGAAGGTGCTGATTGCCACCCAAGCACAACCGTCGCCTTCAGCAGAGTAGAGTTGACGGCTCTGCTTTTTTTCGTTTTTATGTCCCTTGGACTTTTTTTGTCAGATTTTCTAATTCCTAATCGACCCTAATTGTTGAAACAGTAAACATTTGTTCATACATTGTTCCGCTATCGTGTGCAATCTTTGCACTTCATGCAGAAGTTAAAAAGGGGCGACGCTGTGGTCCCAACGCACTCACAATGATTCATTCGAAACAATGTCTTTCAATAATACTCTCAAGAATACATACAACAACATCACAAAAGCACAAAAGCACTGCCGTTTCGCGAGGGACGTTTACAGCATGAAATCCCAAGTGGACAGCCACTTCATTTTCGGGACATCCGCAACCTCGATCGGAGAGGCGTACGACAAGGGAGCAAAGTACCAAAAGCCGTACAGGAATGTGACCAGCAGGAGACCGAGGAGTCGACGCCTCCATCGATCTTGGAGTCGCACGAGCAAGTGATCGAACAGCGCTGCAACAGCAAGAATACCAAACATGTGCGCGGGCAGGTAGTGGTGTAGGAAGAGCTGACGCTCCATTGCAAAAAAGGGAATGTAGTGTAGGAGCCATCCTAACAAGAAAAAGTCGCCAATCAATTGGAATTTGCGTTTTCCTTCTGTGAAGCGCGGTGGAGATTGAGAGTGAGAGGCTATGCCAAACAACAACGTGACAATGTTTCGCCGATTCGTTCTTGCATCTTACCAGCGTCCATGTCGTGGCACCCTCGTCGCGTTCGAATAATATAAACGCCAAAAATCATAAAGTAGATGCCAACCATGGGGATGAACGCCCAGTACAGGAGAGGATTTCCCAGCAAGTACACTTGCATGCGCTTGCCCGCGCTTTGCCAGAACGAGATGCCTCGTGAAAGGATGGGCCACGACTCTGGCCGTGATTGGAAGACATGCTCGCCCGTCAAGCGCTTGTTTGCTTCCCATGCAATCACTTGAATGTCTGCAATGTCCTTCAGTCGAGTCAAAATGCCACTGCGATCCGTTTTAGCCGGGGTTGTAGAAAATCCAGCATCTGCGCAGAAGCAGTAGTGCGGGAGCATTGTAGATCACCAGTCTGTCAGTAACGGTAATCACTCTCCTCAACTCGCCCAATCTCGCCCCATTGTCCCCCCCCTCAACCACCAATTCTGCAGCACTGAAACTTACGCTTGACAGCATTCAGCTCGGTCACCTGCCAAACGGTGCCGGGATGGTGGAGATCGGTGGTGCAGGCCGCCTCGTTCTGCCGAAAGCCCCACTCGGGGAGCTGGACGGCGTGACTAAAGAGCGCACAGCGAATGGAGCCGGTCGACCGAATGAGCTGGAATCGGGGCTTGGCAATCGTCAGCGTGTCCGGGACGGCCTCGTTGTTTGCCTTGTAAAAGACAAGTTCCCACGGATGACCGTCGTCATCGGCGGCGCTCACTTCGTACATGCCAGCAGTGACTGGTGCAGCGTAGCCATGCATGTACAGGCCTTTCTCGCTTCCGACGTGGGTCAAGAACACAAAATCGCCGGACGCGACGTTGACCGACTGCGAAGGGTTGGGCAAAGCCGCAAAGGTCTCGTTGCCCGAGGAGGTTGTGGCACGGCGGATGACCCACCAGTTGTTGTGGTCTTTGTGTGCATACGTCGTAATTTGCTGCTGCTTGCTGCCTCCAGGGTAGTCGTGCGAATGCGAGTGGAAGTAGGCATTTGTGTTGACGTGTTGCATTGTGATCTGGGCAGACAGTGCAGGCGACATTTGAGTTCAAAGTGAGTGAAAAGAGGGAAGGGAAAGCACGCTATACCAGCGAAACACAGCCGCCAAAACAAACCATACTTGAGAGCCATAGGTCACAGCAGTGTTGGTTGTTTCAATGACACCTTTCAGGCCCGACACAAAGTCAGAGCTCATGAATGCGTTTCCAGGGCCGCTCGTGTTGAGAATAGCAAAATGAATGTAGAATGAGGTGGCATAAATGACCATAGGAATGGCGATCAGACCAAGGGCTCGGACCAGGAAGTGGAGGAGCTGCAAAGCAAAGAAGTGAAAACAAAAGAGAAGAGTCAGACTGCAGCTCGTCCGTGTGCACCACATCGCACAACAATCATCCTACCAGATCTGTCATGGACTGTCGAAGGTCTGCCAACAAACGCCAGAGATCCCGAATGGTGTGCAGGCCAACAAGCGCAATCACAAACAGGCCAACCCATTTGACGCTGAGGGCCAATCCGAGTGAAACACCAGTCAGCCCGAGCCACTTGAACCACTCGGGAGTGAACTCGCGCGAGCGAAGGTTGCTAAACTTGGCAATTGAGTAGACCGAGCAGGCGATGAAGAACAAGAGCATGGAATCGAGCAGGATGAGGCGTGACTGTGTCACAAATCCGTTCTCGAGCAACACCATGGCTGCCGCCAGTGCCGAGCCATGAATGGAAAAGCCAAATTCTATTGCGGTGGAATGGGTGGTGGTGGTGGTGGTGGTGGTGGTGGTGGGAGGGGGGGGGTTTTGGGACGTGGAGAGACAGCGAGAAAATAGTTAGTTCAAGTTCAACGCAAACTTCTCTTCAAGTGGCCGTCAAAAAAACGAGCCTGCGCTTTACCCATCATGATCAAAAACACTAGCGGCACGAGTAGAGCTCCACAAGTCGCAGGTACACTTCGCATGGCAACGTAGGGCACGTGTCTGCCAAAAACAAGCAAAAAACAAACAAAAAAACAAGAGCAACCTTGACTGAGCACCAACAGAGTCTGAAAAAGGATCAACACAAATGCTTCCAACAACCAATAAAATGTCATACGTTGGTGCTTTTGTGTAATCCATGCCGATATCCTTGAACGTAAACTGGCCATCGTACCCAGCGAGATACCCCGCGAGTGCAATCATCAACTTTCCGGTGGGCGGATGCACATCGAAAAAGTACGTCCTGCGCATGTAGTGGCTGGCAAAACCGCCAAAATGCACCTCATCAAACACGACTTGATGCGGGTGCTGGATCATGTAAAAGCGGGTGGCAAATCCCAACACCAGGAACAGGAATGCGACAAAGCGACGACGGTGCCATGGCGTGCCGAGGAACCAAGGGAGCGCCTTGTCCGCCTTGGTGCGGGAGGGCGACGGAGAGCGGCGGCCCAAGGAGGGTTCGGAATGCGAGGACTTTGCGTACGGACTGTAGCGGTCGCTCTGGCGCTCAGTGTTTTCGTCGCTGTCGTGCAGAGAGCCGTGGCCATGTTCATCAGACGGGGACGCATTGAAATCAGAGTACGGGAGCGGATTGGCATACGAGTGTCGGGAATGTAGACCATAGCTTCCGGTTGGGGCTGCGAATCCAGCCATCGACGACTGAATGGCATATGCCGGTGCCTGGAGCTGTTGATTATGCTGCACCTGCTGCTCTTGCTGATGATGATGATGGAAGGCAGCAGAAGAGTCTTGGTGACGTTGCTGGCTGAACTGCATGTCCATCTCGTGCCCATAGCTCAGCCCTGCGCTGTTGCCCGAGTGACCTGCAGGCGGTGAGAATGCCGATCCTGACGCAGATCTGTCGTATCCCGCTCCGGGTGGCTTGGTGGCTCCGGATCCAGCTCCGTTGTGCGCCGCCATTGCTTGATCGTGTCCGCTCCACATCTGCAAGCCACAGAAGCGCGCGTTTTGTTTGAGCGAGGTTAGTTCAATGAGCCATGTCCAAACCTTCCCCACCTCCATCATTGTGTGACGCTACTCTCCAGCCAAAGAGGACGACGTAGAAGGAAGAGAGGAAGCCGCTTCTTAGGATGTGAGCGAACGTCTCGCGCTGTGCCTGTGCCTGTGCCTGTCTCCCTACCCCCTCCGCTCCCCAAATCGAACGAACGCCAATAAAGCACCAAGGCTCGCCAAACAAACTCGTAGTGGTGCAAGTGGAGGCAGGCAAACGTCTGTCGTCGTCGTCGTCGTCGTCGTCGTGTCAAGATCCCGCCCTCTGTCTTGCTCGTCAGTGCCCCCCTCCGACTTTGCCCTTCCCCACCGACGTTTTGCTCTTGGAATCGAGCGTTTGTGTCTGATGTTGCATTGTGAGTGGCAACGCGCTGTCGATTGAGACGTAGGAAGAGAGGACGCGAGAAGGGAAAAAACCAAAAAGAAAAGAAGTAATGTATGGGATTTTGCATTGCGTTTGAGACGAAACCGACCTGTCCTTGCTGCTGATGCTGATGCTGATGCTGCTGATGCTGATGCTGATGATGCAGGGACTGGGACTGGGGCTGGGACTGGGACGGAGACGGGTGGCGATGGAGTGGGGAACCGGACGAGGCGACCAGATCGACTGGCACAAACCCTCCACCACTACTCATTCAGAAAGAGAAAGCGTAGAACAAGAGGGGAAAAAGGAAAAGACTGAGATTTTTGAAAGAAGGAGAGATGCTGACGAGATGGATTGCGATTGTGAACATTGCTGAGCCAAAACAAGGAGATCAATGGAGGAGAACGCTTGAGAAGGGCGATTTTCAGCAGCCTCAACCGAACAATCCGACTTGACGATACAGTAACGCAGCATTTTGATGATGCATTGAACGACCCAACGCTCCATTGGGTCAGTTCTCCTTCTTCTTCTGCTTCTTGCTGTTGGAAGCTCCATCGCCCCTACTCGCTGCCCCTCAAACCCCCTCCTCCGCGCCTCCCACCACCAATCCCCAATCCAATCCATCATCTCCAAGAATGTCGCTGTCATCGCCATCATCGGCGACTGGCCTCTCGCACGCAGCCGCTCTGCTCCCAATCCCTGCATCGCCACTTGCTGCTGCTACTGCCGCTGCTGCCGCTGCTGCTTCTACTGCTGCCCTTCCTCCTCCTCCTCCTCAGGCGGGCTCGCCGGCCCTCTCCAACAAGCGGCGTGTATGTTAGCTCTGTTTGTTGGACTGGATGACCCTTTTCGTGGTCGAGTTGGGCGCTTCTCCCGCCATCTGCTCACCTCCACCTCTACCTCCTTCGACTCTCATCGACTCTCACTGGTTTGTGCTTGAACTTGCTTTGTTTTTTGTAGCAAGGATTGTCGCTGAGCTGCCCGATTGTCTACGGAAACCTCGCCGTTCACCTCGCACCAAAAGCAAGTTGTTGCAGTTCTGAGCAGCTTTGCCATCGCATGCTTGAAGGTAGCTCGCGCTTACTCGAGGGGCTACTGCTTGGAAACCTCTGACAGGAAGTACCCGATGAATCACATACACATCGCTGGACTGTCTACGTTCGTGGCGCCGATGGCGATGACATTTCCTACGTGGTGAAAAAGGTATCGTAGTCGAAGGCGGCACGCAGTCCAGCGCCACTTGCAACAATGCAAATAACATGGCGGCACGTCCCTTTTTGCTTTGTCTGTAGGTTGTCTTCAAGCTGCACGATTCGTACGCCGAGTCTCTGCGAAGTGAGCATTTCTGTCTGCACTGTTTTGTGTTGGTGCAGTGGTTTTCGCTGATTTTTTTGATTCGGTATTGCCACACCCACAGCGGTCGAGCAGCCGCCATACGAGGTTTCAGAAACGGGCTGGGGCGAGTTTGAAGTTCAAATCAAGGTACATTGGGTTGTGTTTTTGCGCGAAGGTGGATTCGCTCGTCTGACTTTGGATGGTTTGGCGAACAGGTTTTCTTCCGTGATGCAGTCGAGAAGCCGGTTACAATCTTCCACCATTTGGCACTCTATCCTCACGCTGCCACGTTGCAGCCTTCCAAAAAGCTGCTCGTGTTTGAGCAATACGATGAAATTGTAAGTTCGTGCGGGTTTTGGTGTTGTTGTTGTTGTTGTTGTTATTTGGTCTTTTCTCGCAAACCCACCATCCTTATCCTCCACTTGCAGGTGTTTAACGATCCGTCAGACAAGTTATATCAGATGCTGATGCGAAAAGAGCGGATCCCGGGGTTCAAAAAGACCGCACCCTTCCGAGACTGTGAGTTTCTTTTTCTTCGAGACACCATCAAACTCCCAGCTGACCCCCCCCCGCGCCTCGCTCCGCCTGCGACACGATTTGGATTGAGTAGATAGCGAGTTCGAGGTTGCTCAGCTCGAGCAGCTCAAGGAAAGCAAGGACCAGGTTCGGGCGGAAATGGCCAAGCAAAAGGCCAAGTATCGCGATTTGGACGAGGAGGCACAAGTGCTCAAGCGCGAAATTGCAGCTGTAAAGGCGATGGATGGGGCAACTGTGTTTTTTTTTTCTTGTTTTGCTAAAATTGGCTGCATCTCGTTTCTGTTGCACTCATTTGTTGGAAATTGTGGTCGAGCAGTTGGAGCAGGAATTGAACATTGATGCCACCGCAATGGAACTCGTCTAATCAGTTCAACATTTGTCAAATGAGGAAGGATGAAATCATGGTTTGCTGCTGGATTGCACGGTTTGCATTATCCAAAAAAATATGGTTCTGAATAGACTCAATGGCATTTTCTGCCAATATACAGTAACAAAGAACACAAACTACGAACGAGGGATGGTTGTTGCGCTTGTTCCCCGCTGCTACATTATACTACACTTTTTCTTGCCGCCAACATCGATTGCCAAGGTTGCACGGACCGCTTGTGTGAAAACCTCTGTCACACCTTGGTTGGCTTTTGCAGAGCACTCAATGTAGCCGTCCAGCTCTAATTTGATGGCCAGCTGCTCCGCCTGCAGCCATAACAAAAAACAAACAAACAAAAAAAAATGACATGTCAGGCTCAGTTGGTTCAAGGCATGGTGGGAGTGAAAACGACAGAAACTCCAAAAGTACGCACATCGGCTTTGGACGGACTGGCCCCTTCCCCTCGCAGATCGGTTTTCAAGCCCACTAGTATGATTTTCGAGTCTCGGCAGTGTTTCAATACCTCCTTGATCCACTGCCCAGGCCAGAGAGCAAACAGACAAGAAAACAATGAGCAATCTTTTTGGCAAGGCTCATTCAGCTGCACAAATGACTCACCTTGTGCTGAATGTTTTCAAAGGAAATGGTCGAATCGAACGCAAAGCAGAGTAAGACAGCATCTGCCTTGTTGTATGACATGACTCGGACGCGGTCCATGCCCTCTTGGCCCGCCGTGTCCCACAGGAGCAATTCGACTGGCTTACTGTCTACGATAATGTCCTTGACTGAGTTTTCAAACACTGTCGGCTCGTACACCTATCAAAAGCAAGCAAGCAAGATTTTTTTCAATTTCGTACAGTGAGTGACCATTGCCATCTCATCATGTTGGTTGTCTGATGGTGACTGATGAGAATCATTGAAGCTGAATGCAAGTACGCTTCGTTTCGTTTCGTTTCGTTTGATTCTTTAGCTCTGCTACCCTCAATGGCCGCGTCTCCATTGCAGCTTTTGTCATGTCATTGAGACTGACCATTGAGATTGAGAATGGTCGTCGTTGAGATCTGGGTTGCAGTGTTGCTCATTCGTGTGGGAGTGATCTATTGTGATCTAAAACCTTGTTCTTCCTCTTCTTGCTTTTTCCTACTTTGCACTTCTCGCAGCTTCTCATGTTTGCGACCACACACACGCAAAGCAGTGACCCCCATTCATGCAACAGACGCAGTGCACGCTCAACACTGGTGCTGCTGCTGCTTGCAACACCAAAAAAAAAAAAAAAAAAAAAAAAAAAAAAAAAAAATCAATCAACAATAATAATAATAATAAATAATACATTTTTTTTTTTTTTAGTGCTTTGGCTTTGTCTGTTTCTGCACCAGTCTGGTCGCTTTTTTGGGCCAATCGACAACATCGTAATGCATCAGCATCAATGCGGAAGGCAGCCCGACCAACAGCAAAAACCACAGCAGAATCACACTCACAATGCAAATCAGCCTTATTTTCAATGACACTATTTTTTTTTTTTTTGCATCCTTTTTTTTTTTTTTTTTTTTTGATTTCCCGCCAAACCACAAAACGCCGTTTCGTTCGACCTGCCGACGTGCTATCCAGCACAGCACTGACCCCACACTCGCGACATCACTTTTCCAGCTGATAAAAGCACCGAGATTGGAGGGAGCGAATGGCAGCGCGAGTGAGACAGCTACCACGAAAGAGAGAGAACAGAACAGACGTAGGGAAACCGGTTTTCACCCACTTCAGTCTGCTTGTAGGGTTGCTCTCTTCCGAACAAAGGGTGCCCCTTCAAGTCTTCTCTGCAGCAGTCTGCCCTGCAGCACCACCATCAAGCATCGACAGCGCGGAGAGGGGGGCTGATCGTCCGCGTCAAACCACGGTGCTTTTGAGAAATGGCAGTGATCGAGCCATGGAATGAGTTTTCCCATCCACCCACACGACTGCAAACGAACGAGCATGCCGAGGGGACGCGGGGAGGGGAGAGAGAGAGAGAGAGAGAGAGAGAGAGAGAGAGGGTGGGTGTGTGCGCTGGCTTTACAGTGGGAAAGACGCCGCTCTTGAAGACGGTCAGCAGGGTGGTCTTGCCCACGTTCGGGTCGCCGACAACGACAAGCTTCTTCTGTAGCGGTGGTTGTGATGGGCGCGACGGCTCGCTGCTGGCCACCGACTCGCTTCTGCTCGAGGTCGCAGCGCTGCCGCTGTGGCTGGCTGCTGCTGTATCTGCTGCGTCCAGCGACATGGCGATGCTGGTTGGAAGTGGGAAGTGGAAGTGGATGAGGTTGTTGCTGTTGTTTGCTGTTTCTTTACGAAAAAAAAAAAAAATGAGGAGTGCCAATCTCAAAAAGAGTCTGAGAAAATAGTAAACAGATGAATTGAACAAATCCAAAGATCACGAGCAAGACTTATTCGGTGACTTTGATTCACTCTATCATTTTTCCAATTGAAGAGGCAGCAGTACAATGTCAAAGTACGAAAACAAACAACAAGCAGCTCAGTAGCTGAGCCGGCGATTCGTCTTCGTGAAACCCAAAACTCACCCAAAAAAGTGCAACCTTTGCTTTTCATGTTGTTGTTGGTCAGAGAGCGCCGGAAAGACGAGAGCAGCAGCGACAGCGACGACAGCGAGGACGATGAGCAGCGACTGCGCTTTGCTGAAGCTGCAGTCACTGCGTCTGTGCTCAAGACGCCCAGCCACCGTGCAGATCGGAGTGGCGCAATGGGAGCATCAGGCTCAGTGACAGGTGGAGCGAGCAATAGTCGCAACGGCACACTCGATAGTAAGCACCAATGAATGAAAGCACATGTACGACCGACCACTGCGAACAACGACACTGAATCTGACCAAACCCTCACATGTCTGTCGTTGATGGAACTCGGTTTCCATCATCTAGACACGCAGTGCATCGATATTGATCGCCCAAAGCACGATATTCACGTTCGACTGCACCCCGCCGAGATGCAGTTCCGATCAGCAGCGATTGCGACGGCAACACAGCTGCGCTTGCTGCTGCCGTCTGGTGCTGGAGCTGCACCACAACCTGTCTCTCTGCGATCTGAAGTGTACGACCAGGATTCGTACAACCCAGGACGCATGTGGGCGCAGAATGACAAGGAATTTCACAAGCACGCGTACACTCGCCTGTCCAAGATGCTGGACGAGACGTGCGGCGCAGCCATCACCCCAAATCTGTGGGAAAAGACGCTGCCGTGGTTGAAGGACCGGAAAGCGGCGGCGTCCCCCAAAGACCAGAGCAGCGATAGCATGAAGTTCATTTCAGGATTGCCCGGCGCGCCATCCCTCACCGTTCTGCCGTACTCGTCCTTATCTAGCAGCCTCAAGCCAGTTCCCACGCCAGATCCTGCCAGGGCGTCTGTCAAGCGAACGCACAGCTCGCGGTACGCCTCGCTTGAGTTTGTGTGCAAACGTCCATGCTCGCTTTCAACCTGACAACTGCATTGGCTTTGGCACTGCACCTTTTGGTAGACATGGTAACGATGACGAGTCTTCCGACGAAGATGAAACGCTGACACGAATGCGGGAAGCGGCCATTCCAACCGAATCCATTCTTAGTCAAGCCAGTTTTCAAAAGCAAGCCGCAGCCGAGGTAGGATCTCTGTGGTATCCAATGCTGGAGTTTGATGGCGATTTCATGCAGGTGAGATTCGTTGCACTGTCAGGCCGCTGGGCTCACTGCTGCGTTTTTTCTTTTCTTTTTTGTTTTTGTTTTGTTTTGTTTGTTTGTTCGTTCGTTCGTTCGTTTGTTTGTTTGTTTGTTTGCATCACCTAGGCCTTCCAAAACCAAACCCTGACCGAAAATGCACATTCGCGTGTGGGCAACGAAAAGAAAAAGCTAAAGAAGGAGAAGAAGGAGAAAAAGGACAAAGGTGACAAGAAGGACAAGAAGGACAAGAAAGCCAAGAAGGGCGATGTCGCTTGAACAATTACATTTCCATTGTTATTTCGTTACTCGTATTCCAATAACAAAACAAAAAAAAATTGATCATCTCAACGCAACGCATCTCACGCGACGCACAGTGCAAATTCAAAAAGGCAAAAACTGAAATTTGGCACAAGTCGATCAGCCGGGTTTATTTCCCGACTCAACCACAAATCAAGCAGGCCGCTCGAGACGCGGTGTGAACTCGAATCAATGTTCGATCTGCTGCAGCTCTCTTTGGCAAATAAATCGGCCATACAGACGTTCTTCCTTGGCCCACATGCGATCCTCCACCGTCGTCACCTCGAGCCGGAGCTTGAAACCTAGCTGGGACATGCACTGCTCAAATCGAATGACACCGGGTCTTCGCTGCTCATGGGCGGGAGTGGCAACATAGCACTCGGCATTCGGCGTGTTGCGCAAAAGGAAGCTCAGAGTGCGGGAAACGAGCTCGCAATGGGACTCTTCATAGATGCATTCGCATGCAACCACCAAGTCAAATGCATGGCACAGCTTTTTCAACCGAGTGACTTCGTCGGTAGTGCCATGTGCGTGGGACGAGCAGGTGGCAGGTGGCGTCGTTTCGTCTGAATGGGCAAACGCAGCAGGAGCTCCAACATGAGCCTCGTGCCACCTTGAAATGTCATTCCAATCCAGTAGAAACGCATCGACTGTACAAGGACTGTCAGGGTTGGAAGTGTAGAGGTTGTCGGGATTGGCGTGCTGCTGTTGGTCGTCCGCGGGCTGGGATGCCTTCACGGCCAGCCCGTTCAAGGACAGATTCACCCATGTATTCTTGATGATGGCGGGAAGGTAGTCTGTCAGTGCGACGTACTCTGCGCCCGCGAGTGCGCAAGCAATCCCAGCCATTGCAGTCCCGCAACCAATCTCAATGATACGCTTCCCTCGGATGAGGTGTGGCTGCGAAACGAGCCACCTACAGACACCGACAATATCGATTTCGGACGACATGAGCAAGGTCAATGTTTGGATTCACTTGCGTTCAAGTGAGCGCTCCACCCGAGCAACGAGTTTCATCAACAGTGTTTCAGCACAAGTTGTGGGTTTTTTTTTCTTACTCTGTGAGACATCGCGTCGCAGGCCATGTTGTCCAGCCGACATCTGCATCGGCGAAATCCGGCTCTCGTAGTACCACTTGGAGTCCGTTTGGCAATGGATAGGTCTTTGTGACTGGAAGTCGAGCTGCAAATGACAGGCCACGAATGAGAAAACCACGGTGCCCCCACTCTCCAGCACCACAGTCATCAGAGCAAAAGGCACGAGTGGCCTGTTGTGTTTACCAGTCGGACCACTAAGATTGCAAATGATGGACGAGCACAGCACGACGAGTGGGTCATCGTCCTCGTCTTCGTCGTCCACTTCGTTGGTGTCCTCGTGTTGCTTGGGGATGGGATTGGCCAGTGCGGCTGCGAGTATCCGTGTCAACTTGTGGTGCATGCCTGCACGCTCGAATTTCTGCAATCGATCTGGACCCGCGCCGGTCGTCCGTGCGAGCATGGCTTCGAGCAGCGGTTGCAGCGCCGCGCGGTTCTTGTCGGACGTTCTCTCCACCTGCAGAATCAGATCGTCCGTCTTGCCCATTGGTTTTTGGCGTCAAGCAATGTTCGCGTGGTCTGTGTAGTTGGCGTGAAAAGTGATGTGAGTGTTGTTGTTTGTCAAGATTGGTGTTTGAGGAGCGACTGAGAAATGACTGAGATTCAGTCAGTTTTTTTTTTGTTTGTTTTTGGCGCGAGTCGAGTGCTTCTCAGACTGTAAGTCAAATGAACCGACTTCCATTGCATGTTTGTTCTTGCCTTTGGTTGCTGCTTTTCATTTTGCGCTTAGTGTGCGAGGGTGGCTGATTCTGGAGTCAAGTGGAGGGAAGAGGGAGGAGAGGCAAGCGGTCAACGGTGGGCGTTGTTGAGAAAGCGTCCATGCTCCGCGTGTCCTTCTCGCTGCTCGGTCCAGCTACATCGTTGGCGCGTGTCCCTGAAAAGGCGGCTAGAGTGTTCGCGTTGGGCAAGAGTGAACTCTTCAGCGAGGAGAGAGAGAGTGTGTGTGAGAGACGCAGCGAGCGAAAGAGAAGGGGCGGAGGTGCGGTTTTGCGGTTCGTTTTGCTTTTGAGTCTGCTGCTGCTGTTTTGCTTGGGTGCACGATCTTCCCCCCCCCAGCGTCGCGTTTGACGCTCTGGCGCGAATAGCATTTCGTTAAGACCAGCCATGGCACTGGCGGAAGGGTGAGAGGGAGTGAGTGAGTCGAGTTGAGTCGAGGTCAACTGCGCCATGCAATGGGAATTCCAATGTGCAATCCACGTCTGCATCTCCGTCTTTTGTTGGACGGGGCGCTTCTACTCCCAGGGCTCACAGTGAGTGAAGAGTGAGTGGAGCAACTGCTTTGCCGCGCCATCGTGCAACAGCGACCGAGCGCGTCGCAGTGCATGAGCAGTTGGACCATCATCGTCATGCTGTCCTTTTCTTCTTCTTTCTTTTTCTTCTTGTTTCTGCTTCTCGCTTCTTCTATTTTCTTTGCTTCAATGTTACTACAGTATTTTGTTGTTCTTTACCTTGTGTTTCACTTTATCTGCTGCTGGTGTTTGTCACGCTTTGACTTTTTGACAAGAGACAAGCGTCAATTTCCTGATTGTTTTTTTTTTCCATTCTCATTCTTTTGCCTTCATTCCTTTTTTTTTTTTTTTTTTTTTCAATTTTGACTTGTAAGTCAAAAGTGCATCATCATCATCATCAACAACACCAGCAACAACAACAATGTCAGCGTCATTGATTTATTATGATGAGGAATGGTCGCTTTACATGTGGGCTGCAATGTCAAAATGCATGAGAGACACAGAAAAGCAAAAAAAAAAAAAAAAAAAAAATCCAATCTGCTTCTCGTTTTGGCTCTTGCATTGCAATTTCAGCATGAATGCTCGTGGCTCTCAAACACGCACGCACAACGCCTCGGCCTTCATACAACACGCCTACAAATCCCCACCCATGAAAATACAACAGCACTGGCGCGAAGAAAGAATGCATTGGCAGGATTTTGCAGCAATTGAATGTCGCTGAGCATGAAATTGTAAAGGGGCGGGTTGTTAAAAAAAATAATCTCGACAAAAAAAAAAAAAACAAAAAAAAAACCGGAGACTTTGGAACTCACATTGGCAGCAGTTTCTGCTGGCCTGGCTTGCTGAGCTGAAGCCGGGGGAAGGGAGGTGGGCGACGCTTCAACCGACAGCTGCTGTTGACATGCACGCCGCGTTGCTTGCCCAATGCTCGTCCGCTTGCACGCGCCGCTCTGCAAATCGCCCCCAAAAGCAAATCGTCGCCCGTCAACATTTTGTTCCTTTTTTTTTTTTTTTTTTTTTTTCATTCCAACTCGAATTGCATAGCATTTCACATCACGCCGCCGATGTCTGAACGAGCGAGCGAGCGAGCCCGTCCAACGTCGCAGAGGATGCAACACAAACAAAAGCAAATCAGGTTGTTGCAACATGAGCGGAAAACGCGGCGTTTGGGGCCTGAGCGAACGCAAGCGAAGGGTTGTTGCAGCAGGACGTATTTTTGACGCGCGCTCGCTTCGATTCTTGCATGACGTACAATTGGGCTTTGTGCGAAGGGTGGTGTTTCATTCACCCCTTTGTTGTTTTTGCACTGCTCGCTTGTTCCTCGCTTTCGGCGACGGGCTGTGTACCAAGCTGAGCATGCTGCATTTGTCATTCACCTTTTCCTTCGATTGCAATGAGATTTTCGAGCGTTCTTCTTTTTCTTTGTTTTTTTTTTCTTGTTTTTTTTTCTAATCTTTTTTGGCTGCATATCTTTTATTCCTATTTGGCCACCTCCCCTCGTTCTTTGTTTCGTTCGTTCTTTGATAATTGAACAAGCACAATTCCCATTTTGCAAGAGCAAACGACAAACCTCTCTTTCTCACACATCCAAAAAACAAAAAAACAACAAAAAACAGACACAGCAGCAAAAAAAAAACGCCGCTCACTCTTCCTTCAACAACAAACCAAAAAATCACACAACATGCCTTCTCCGCTCATCATGATGTGCTTGGATGCGCAGAGTGCTTCTTCATCGTTGCAGAGCAGCAGTCCGTATTGTCTCAAGTCCGAGGAAGAGCTCAAAGCAGCAAGCAGCACGTCCACGTTTGTGGATTTGGACCTGCCTTTGGTTTCAATTGCCGACACAAGCACAAACAGTAACGACGAGGCTTCCTTGACCTCTCAGACAAGCAATTGGGACTCGACTACTCAAACGTACACGAGCACACCCGGAACTCTGCTCGTTGACGAACCGGCATTCCTGTTCTCGCCCGACGCGCAAGACCCAGACCAGCCCGCCGACGTGACCTTCACGCTTGAATCCTCAAGCCTCGACTCTGCGCTGAACGAGACAGGAGAGACCTCTGCTGTTGTTCGTACAGTTCCTCTTTCGTACCCAACGGGTTTGTTGTCGTCGACCGGTTCCGTCCGCTTGCCAAAACCATTCCTCGATACCGTAACCGCTTCTTCCTCCTCTTCCTCTTCTTCTTCTTTTTCTTCCTTTTCCTCGTCGGCCTCCTCCTCCTCCTTCCCGTTGCTTGCCGCGCGTTGCTGGACGGACGACGAGTACTCGGCTGTCTTGGTTGACTCTGCTGACGCACCACTTGCCTCGAATCCTCCGCTGACCGACCTTGTTGCGCGATACGCGCTTTCCGAGCCCGACCGTTGCCACGGAACTACAGCCCACGACCAACCCACCTCCTCTTTGCACTCGGCTTTGTCTTCGTTCGCCTCCCTCGGCGCAAACACAATCAACCTGTTTCACTCGCACATGCCACTGCAGCAACCGCAGCAACCCTCTGCGCCCTATCCGTCGACCTCGCAACCGAACATGTCACTGACAATGTCCAACATGCCACTTTCTGGTGCCCACCCAGCTCCGTACGGGGCGATGCCGGTCAAGCCCGAACTGGCCAATCCTGCGTACTACATGAACGCTTTCCCTCCTGGAGGCGCCCCGCCACCAGTCCAGGGCGGCCAGATGCAGCTTCAACAGCAACCCTTCCAACAGTTGCAGCAACAGCAGCAGCCACAGCTCCTCTCCAATCCCGCCTATCCCACGTATCTTCCGCCCGCCAATGTTCAGTACACTGGCGTGGCTAGTTCGGTGGCCTCGGCGGCCTCGGCGTCCACAGCCCCAGGTCAAGCCAGTCAACAACGCCAACGAGCGTCCGCTTCTGCCAGCTCGGGAGGCCAAGGGTCGGACGAAGGCGACGGCAGTGATGGCGAAGGCGGCGAGGACGGCGAGGATGACGGTGTCTGGACCAAAGAGGTGGAAGATGCCTTCGAGGAAGCCTTTGCCCTGTACCCGCCCTGTGGCCGTCGCAAAATCATCCTCAACAACGAAGGAAAAATGTTTGGTAGGTCCTGAGGAGGAGAGGCAGAGCCCCATGGGGGTGGGGGAACGTAGACGGGTGGTTTCGCGCGCGAAACCTGGGCGCTGTCAGAAAACTTACTTGCGCTGTTGGTGTAGGGCGAAACGAGCTTATTGCCAGGTATATCCGAATGAAAACTGGCAAAGGACGATCCCGCAAGCAAGTGAGCAGCCACATCCAAGTTATTGCTCGCAAGCGCCAACGCGAGATCGGGGAACGTCTGAAGGTAATGGCACACGTTTCTGGTGCGACAGCGAGTCAGAAGAGGGCGGCGAGGTTGGGGGGGGGGGCGCTTTTCCAAGTGCTCACAGTTCTCTTTGAACCATCTCGCACTCTTAGCATTGCAATCAAGATATGCAGCGTGCAGCGATGGAAAATCTCGCAACCATGTCGTCGGCACAGCTGGTCTCTGCCACATTGAATCCCCAAGCACAAGTGGCTGCTGCAGCGGCCCAACCCTACGCCGAGCCCATTACTCTTCCTGCAGCCACCTCGGCAGCCGCGCTCTCTGCTCAGATGCAGCGCGAGTCCTTGGGCACGATTCTCCAGGCCGTCGACGCAGAAGCACCCGCGTCTACTTCGCCGCAACTATCGCACCAGCACCCGGTCACCTTTTCAACCAGTGGCGCTGCACCTCGCGAGTAAGTTAGTTGTTTGGCTTTCCCTGGCCGGTTGTTGGCTGTTGCTAAATTCGTTGCTGTGTGTGCGTGCGCTCTGCACAGTGGACCTCCTGCTCCCAGACATCAGCCAAATCAAGTCACTCTGTGCCAGCTAGCAAGTGCATTAGAGTACCCCAATTTGGTGCGTAACTGTGCTTGTGTGGTTTCGGGAGTGGTTTTGCGAATTTTTCCATGCTCACTTGTGTTTGCTTGTTGATTGTTTTTCTCTCCTTTTCCCCTCCCTCCTCCCCCCATTTTCCTTCAATTCCCCTGTGTTTCATTCCATGAAACAGAGCATTCCTCCAGTCTTTTTTGTCAACATTGAGAATGAAGTGCTGAACGACCCGCAAATGGAAATTGTCGAGGCAAAACTCATTGCTGACAAGTTCCCACAACTTCGCGAACGGTTTGCGCAGAATCCCGCCGGTGGATTCTATCTGATCAAGTTTTGGGTATGTCATTGTAGCACGTGTTTGTTGATGGATGTTGCTTGTATTGGGTTTGACACTGATTTTTTTGTTATTTTTTGTTTGTTTGTTTTTTGGGGGTAACTTGCGGCGCTCTTTGTAGACTGAATTGCCTGGAAACATGCCGCAAGCCTTTGGCTTTTACCCTTCCAGCTACTGGATGACGGCCAGGTTTGAATCGCAAGAGCAGATCACGCTGGAAGTGACACGCTCAGTCGTTTCATTCGGCAAGACGGCGCAAACCAAGACGGTGTATCTGCTGTCGAGCGGCGTACTGAACGGAAAGCATCAGTATTACATGATGCAGCAGCCGCTGTGCGAGTACATGCAAACATTTATCGAGAAGCTGCGTGGGTTGCCGAGTCGCGAACTCATGAACAACGTGTTGGAAAACTTTTCCGCGAGCATCACGGTTGCCAACGCTGCCACCAAAGAGGTGCTCCTCAACCTGGCGCTTATTTTCGAGGTCATTTCGGACGACACTGGCTCGCAGCACAACGTTTACCGGCTGGTTGATTCCCAATAGTTGTACCCTGTCGGATTTCTCTCGCCCCTGCTTTTTTGTTGTTGTTGTTGTTGTGGTTGTATTATTGCAATGTGTTTGTTTGGTTTGTTTTTTTGCATCTAGCTTGTCTTGTAGTAATCCCTCTGTCCTTTTTTTGCTGTTAGACTTTTTGTTTTTTTCTTCCTTTTCTTGCTTTTGGAAATACAAACGATAATTTTGTCCTCTTTTTGGCTGCGGGCTTTGCCTCGATCGCGGGAAGGTGTGAGTCTTTTTCTGAGATGCTCCGCGTTTCGGTCGAGCATGACGTTTCGTGCGTCGAAAAACTCTTTGGCAAATTCAACAGGCAACAATCTTCTCAAAATCCAACCTCCCCCTTCGATTCCGATGTTACTGAAGATGCCGTGGCTCTATGCTTTTGATTCGTCTTCTAGAAGCAGCACACCAAAAAGGCTTGGATCTCGTTGTCGAAGGATTGGAGGAAACGCAGGCAAACGACGATTGTTTGGCAGAGCAGGTGTGTTTGTCGATACTCTATGAACTATATTGAGCACTGAGCTCACAGATACAGATATGGGATGATGGTCTGTCACACACTCCATATTACAACTTCAGATTCACTCAGTCCAGAAATTCAATTCAAAGCAAAAGGATGGCATTGAACGACGAGGAGGTTGACAAGCAAATCAAGCACATGGTTGCGTTCATCAACCAGGAGGCCAACGAGAAGGCCACCGAGATGAACTTCAAGGCCGAGGAAGAGTTCAACATTGAGAAGGGGCGCCTCGTCCAGCAGGAGAAGATCAAGATCAGCGCCATGTACGAGCGCAAGGAGAAGCAGGTCGACATTCAAAAGAAAATGTAAGCGAAGCCCCCCCTTGTTCTTTTTGATTGTGACGCTTTGAGTGTTTGACGAGCGTGATGGATGGTGATGTTGATGATGATGATGCTGATGATGGGGGTTAGGGTGATGGAGAGAGCAGGAGCGAGGTGGGAAGGGGAGGGGAGGGGGGAACAGGTTTGGTGGGGAAAAAAACCAGAAAGGACACGAGGGGAAAAAAAAAAAAAAAAATCACGGACTGGTTTTGTTGTGCGTGTTCAGGGTGACCGTTGGCAGCCACCTGGGTGAGAGAGTGTGTTAATGTGTGTGTGCGTGTGTGAGTGACAATCGACTGAGAGTGAGAGTGAGAGTGAGAGCGATCGAAAGTGAGTGAAAGAAAGAAAGAAACAAAGCGAGATCCTTGGTTTTTTTTTTTTTCGGAGTTGATTTTGAATGGAGTTTTCAATGGGGAAAAAAAAGAGAAAAAAAAGAAAAAAAAAGAAAACCACGAGACTTTTCCGATGGTTTTGCTTTTTCATTGCGATCATTCGTGAAGATGACGATGAAGATGAAGATGATCAACAAGGGCAAAAAAGAAGAGCCATTCATTCGACTGCCTGAACTGGGGGCAAAGCGTGGAAGCGTGGAAGCGTGGGACGAGTGAAGCGAAGGAAAACAGTCCCCAGTCAACTGACATGACATGGCAGGCTCTGCTTTCCCCCAACTCACTACCATCACTACCATCACTCCAAGTATGTGGATGATCATGTTTGCTAACACTCTGCTCAACATTCGCTTCTTGCCACTCTTGTTAGCTCGTACTCGAACGAGCTCAACCAGTCGCGTCTCCGCATTCTGTCCGAGCGCGACAAGCACATCCAGAGCATCTTCAACGAGACCCAGCAGCAGCTCGCTGGCATCTCATCAAACCCCGACAAGTACCGCAAGCTGCTCGAGGGCTTGCTCGGCCAGGCCTTCCACCAGTTGCTTGAGGAGAACGTCACCGTCCGTGCTCGCAAGGTTGACATTGCCCTCGTCGAGGCTGCCATCCCCGCGGCCGTCAAGGAGTACGCTGTTTCCACCAAGAAGACCGTGAACGTCACTGTCGACAAGCAGAACTTTTTGGCTGCCGACATGTAAGTTTTGTTTTTTGGTTTTGTGCCAACAGATTTTTTTTTTTTTTGTCCTGCTCGTCGCGGGTTTTGCCTGTCACTCATTTTGGTTGTTCATGCTGTTGTTCTTTGTTTGAATTCTTGTTTGTGTAGTGCTGGAGGCGTTGAGGTCTCTGCTCGTGGTGGCAAGATTAGCGTCGTCAACACCCTTGAGAACCGCCTCAAGCTCGTTTACAAGCAGATGCTCCCAGAAATCCGCTCGTCCATGTTCGGCGAGTCCACCACCCGCAAGTTCTTTGATTAAGAGTTTCTTTTTGTTGCTTTTCTCCCTCTTGGGTTCTGTCTTAATTTTGTGTGGTCCTTTTTCTCTCTCTCTCTCTCTCTCGCTCTCTCTTTCTTCCTCTTGATTGTTGATTTTGTTCGTTACTGTGTGCATTTCCTTGTATCGTCATGAAGGTTTTTTTTTTCTGTCTTTGTTCTTGAGTTGATTCTCAAACCGGTCGTGCGTTTACAATCATTCATCGGCAAATCCCCATTTCCCCCATTTGTCAATAATGTCCACATTCGACTTGTTTTGACAACCATCCACTTGTACACTAGTTACAATAGTTCTCAGACAAATCCAAAGCTCAGCTCAGTCCTTCACACACACACACACACAAGCAACACACAAACAGCGATGGACTCGCCATCACTCGACGCTGCTGAGGCTGCTGCCCAGACTGCTGCTGCAATGGCATTGGCAACATCATCATCATCATCATTATCATCAGCAGCAGCATCAGCATCAGCATCAGCATTAGCATCAGCATCAGCATCGGACGACGCCGCTACGCATGCATTGGCAGTCCAGTCTGCCCAGCACAAGATCCGATTCCAGCTCGAGCTCGAGTTTGTGCAGTGCCTCGCGAACGTCCAATACTTGCACTGTGAGTCGAGTTGCTCAAGCTGGGTCACTTGAGCATCGATGGATGTGATGACAAAGCTCACCACAATATGGCTGCTGCTATGTGTGTTGGTTAGATTTGGGACAGCAAGGATACCTCACACAGACAACCTTCATCAACTACCTCAAGTATCTGCTATATTGGAAGAAGCCTGAATATGCAAGATTTATTCGGTATCAAAGTTGATCATTCTTGTGAGCACATGCTTGTTTGAGCTGCTTGTGTTGTTGTCTGACTTTTTGCCTCTTTTTGTGCTTTTGGTTTGTTTGGGTTTTATAACGCTGTGCAACAGGTTTCCACATTGCCTGTACTTTCTGGATTTGTTGCAAGAACCAGTCTTCCGAACAGAGATTACTAAAAAGCCATGCGTTGACTTTGTAGCCGAGCAGCAGCTCTGGCACTGGCAATTTTACGGTCGAAACAGATCTGCAGCTGCTGCGGCGGCGGTGGCGGCTGCTGCTACTGCTGCAGCAGCAAGCACTGATGCGAGCAAGCCCATTACTGCACAAGCCGAATTGCTCATGCCAGCACTTCGACCATTGCAGCAAGATGCACCAATCTCTTAACCAGAAAGCCAGTCCAACAATGTTACCCTCAACCCCCCCCCAATCCAATCTATGCATCTATCAACCGCATACTGACCATTACGGAACGCAGACTGATTCGAGTGCAAGGGCGCGACGGCCTCCACCGCAGTGATGGGACCACTTGCACAAAGCGCATCAACAAAACCCCTCAAATGGATCGTGTTCTTCTACCCCAGATGCTCTGATTCAATGTTCTCAGTACAATACAACACCATCCCTCTTTGTTCTTGATTTTCGAAGACTCTCAGTCCTTTTCCAAGTAGTTGCACAACCAATGAATCCGAACGATTCAATGTCGCCCCGTGCGCGGCGAATGACACAGCACAACCCATGTCAGAAGGAGACCGAGGCGAGCTACAAGTGCCTCGACGAGAACAACTACAACCGAGACATGTGCGGCCAGTTCTTTGACGCTTACAAGGCGTGCAAGCAGCGATGGGTAGGTTTTGGGGCACACGGCCGAGTGGCAAAGGGCCGAATGGAACTGAGTCGATCCAGCTGCTCGATTGGATTATTGATGATGCATATATGTGTGTATGCTTGTGTATGTTTGTGTGTTTGATAGCATGACGAGCGCGCGGAAGCAAGGCGGAAAAAGTACGAGGAAGAGAGCTTGTTTCGGCACATCAAGCTCGCATTCGGCTTTGGTCCGCAACCATCGTCATCAGAGCAGTCGGAAGCCAAGTCGGAAGCCAAGGCGGAAGCAATGCCTGGATCACCGTCATCCAAAAATTAGGCGCAAGCGACGACGGGTGGGCAAACAGCGTAGCCGCATTGAATCAACTTTGGTCTGAGAAGATCAGCAAGCTCAAGACGTTGCATTGCTCGTTGGCTTGCCCAGTTGCATCGTCCACCAAAGAGTCCAAAAGCAAGGCAGTAATGATGGTTGTTCTGGAACGATGGTCAAACTGCCAAAATGTGTACAATATTCGTTACTCAATCAAAATGGCCTTGTTGAAAGAGAGAGAGAGAGGGGGGGGGGATTCGGGTATTGTATTCGAGCAAGACGTTGGCCATCAAGAAAATGAAACAATAGAACTCAAAATCCCGCATGCAAAGACGAGAAAAGAAAGTGAGAGAAGGAGCGAAAGAGCGAGGCGAACAAACAAAACTTCAGCGAGTCTGCCCAGGTCCGAAACCCTGCGGAGGCTGAGAGGACGAGGTCGAGGTCGAAGGTCCAGATGCCCAGTGGACTGGAGGGAGCAGCGCGTCGCGAGGAACCTGCGGGGCGGCAGGGGCTTGCTGCTTTTTCGCCGAACGGACCTGGACCTGACTCGGCACAAGCGCGTGCTTGGGCTTGTTGCGTTGCTGCGATTGCGCTTGAGGAGCAGGTGATTGCTGTGGTTGCGGCTGTTGCTGCTGTTGCTGCTGTTGCTGGTACTGCTGGTACGGCTGTGGTTGCTGTTGCATAGGGACGGCGGCTTGAGCGTCCATCGGGAAATGAGCCAACGGCTGAGGCTGCAACGGGGCGGGGGCAGGCATGGGCACAACAGGCGCCAACAGCTGAGGAGGAGCAAAGTGCGAGTAGACGTGCGGCAGAGCCATACCGTACGGAGCGCCGTATCCGAGTTGGTGGACGTGCGGCAACGGGGCATTTGTCGGCGGCTGGAGCAGGCCATGGTAGTCGGAAGTCTGGTAGACTGGGGCCGCACTGGGCTGTTGTTGCATGAGGAAGGTCGGCTGCGGCGGGAGGGGAATAGAGGGCGACGGGGTGCCGTACGAAGCGTAGGAGGTAGGCCCGCTGCTATTGCTAGTGCTGCTGCTGCTGTTCATAGCCTCTTGTGACGAAGCCGGTTGCTGCTGCTGCTGCTGCTGCTGCTGTTGCTGCTGCTTGGCAGAGGCCATCAGTGCTGCGACTGCAGGCACAAGTTGAGGACCAGGAGAAGCAGAGCTCGACGACGCCGGGGGCTGTTGAGGAGCAGTTTGCAAGTGCAAGTTGCGCGCCTTGTTCGCCTTGGGGCCTGGGGACTGCGTGGATGGACCTGCATGGGGCAGTGGCGTTGATCCCACCTCGGCTTGGGGCGCACGCCCTTTGCCTTTCTTGCCTTGCTGTGGTTGTGCAGGTGCACTTGCTCCCTGCTGTTGCTGTTGCTGCTGCTGCTGTTGTTGTTGTTGTTGCTGTGCTGATGCGGCCGGCTGAGGGGCGGCTTGAGCAGGCAGTTGCTGGGGCTGTGGCGAGCTGGGCTTGGAAGCATGCTTGTTGTTCCCCTTTTGCTTGCCACCCGGTGCCGCCAGTTGCTGCGTCTGCTGCTGCTGTGGTTGCTGCGTCTGCTGCTGCTTCGGTTGCTGCTGCTGCTGCGGCTGCTGCTGAGCTGGCCGCTGAGCCGGGGCTTGCTTCTGCTGCTGTCGCTTCGAGTCTGCAGAGGACGACGTTCCAGAGTTCGGTGCTCCGCCAGAAGATGGCGAGGGCTGCGCAGGACCAGCAGTCTTTTTGCGCGAGCTGTGAGAAGTGCCATGCACGCGGAGACCATGCGTCAATGAAATCAAGGTGAATGGCTTCACGGTCGCGCCACATTCGCGCAGCAGCTTGCCCTCGAGCCGTGAGCCGCCAAGGAAGGGTTCATCAAAGACAACATCCAGGGAATCGGGTGTCGTGTCGTAGATGGCCACAACGGTGCCTTTCAACCCGAAGGGGATTTTGCCGCTTGTCGAGACGTTGACAACACGATCGAGCAACTCGAATGTGGTGGATGTGTCAGGCATGAGGGTGGTCGAGCAAGGGAGGTACAAGTAGGCAGGCTTGGCAGCGTTCTGAGCGACATGCTGAATCACTGCGGGGGTGGCGGTGACGACGGCCGCCGCCGGGTCGTAGTCGTCCTGGGGCCCAGCGCCGGTCGCCGCCGCGAACTGGGCCCGAGACTTGTTGACAAACTGTTTGGCGAGCTGCTCCACGCTCGCGACAACCTTCGCAGGAAGAATCAGCGAGCCACAGGTCACAAGAGTCGACCCTTGGCAGGGAAGAGTTTTGAGATAGGTGCGCATTGCGGCAACCTGGGCCTGTCCGTCCCCAGCCGGGAAAATGTCGTTCAGGTACAAAAAGTTGCTCTTGTCGTGCGCGATCGCATAGCCGAAAAAGTCGGGGAAGGCGTCGAGGTAGCCCTGGACGGTGCGAACGGTCGACGCGCTGTACTCCCAGTTGTTCTCGATTCGCCGCGCCCAGCCAGGCAGCTCCTTGTTCTGGCTCTGGTTTTTGACAAACAGGCCCAGGTTGATGCGTGTGTTTTGCTGCGGGGAGGCCGAGCTTCCGCCAAAAATGGTGAATGTGGACGTGATCTTGGAGAAGAATGCCACTGGCGCATTCACCATGCGGGCAGCGCGTGCCACAGAGAACCACGGCTCACCATCGCGCTCGCTGGCCGCGCCTGAGGCGACCAACGCGGCCAAGTCGAGGTCGGGCTCGGACTTTGGCGAAAAATCGCTCGTGACATCCAGCTCGACACTGACGAGCCCCTTGGCATCGTCGCAGCTCACAACGTGCCCGACGCTGCCATAGTTGGGAGCACCGAGATGGACAAACTCTGTGCCAGCAGGGTAGATGCGGCTGAGCAAGCGGCTTCCATCAGCGCTGTCGCGTTTTGGGACGTCGTACATGACCGTTTGCAGAGCGTAGACGGTCTCGGACGAGGCGAGTTGAGGCACCGACTGGGCTCGGGACGTCTCTGGATCGAACACGTCGCGCCTGCCTTCAATCAACAGCGCCGACAGCAGCACTTGCGTGTCGCCAATCTCAATGCCCCATCGGTTGAAGCGCTCCTCGGCCAGATTGCGCTTGTGCAGAGCCCACGTCTTGGCCTCTTCAGGCGAGTTGGTGAACGTGTTGAACGCTTTGCCGCTGGGCGAAATGAGTGTGCAACGCTGGGCCTTGCTGTACAGCCCAGTCACAAGAGCTTCCTTGAGATGGGGGTAGCCAACAAAGCAAATCTTGCCGAGCCACTGCGACGCCAGAGAAGGCAGGTTGGCAGGAGCAGTCATGTTTGGATTGTCCGAGTTCAGCGACATGATGACCGATTCCTTCTTGGTGGGCTGGCCTTGGAAAATGGTCAGGTTGGCGAGCTCGAGCCGAGCCGAATAATGCAAGCGACGGAAGGAATGCAGACCAAACAGATCCATGCGAACGCCCTCCGCCAGACCACGTCGGAGCGGGACACTCAACACGTGCGGTTTCCAGTCCTCATCGTCGCCGTTTGAGCCAGAGAGCACCGTAACTTTGGCGTGGCAGGGATTGACTGGCGGGAACGAGGCTGGCAGAGTCGACTCCAACAGGTAGCTCACACTCTTGTCAAACCGGAAGCTCAGTTCCTGGCCATAGCGGTTGCGAGCGCGCTCCTCGGCGTTCAGCCGAGCGTCGAACGGCTTCATGGCCGCCAACAGACGCTTCTCATCAATGAAGGGAATCAGAATGACGGCCTCCCACTCGTTCTTTTTGCCATTCAAGTCGGACTCAAAGTCCAAGGGATAGAGATCGATGACTGGAGACATTGGCGAAGTCATGAGCTCGTGGTAGACTGGAGGCAGCAAGCTGTTTGCGAGAATGACGAGAAGAGAGAGAAAGGGAGAGAGACAACAACAACAAGAAAGCACAAAAAAAAAAAAAAAAAAGAGTCAGATGCACCGTTGCCCATTTCTCCCCTCCCCTAAATCTCACTTACTGCTTGCTGGCGGCAGGAAGCACACCCAGGAGCTGCTGGAAGGGGCGGAAAGGCTTGCCAAGCTCAAACTCAATGTGCAGATGGGAAAATCCGCGCAGATCGGAGGCGTAAGGCGAGTAGTGGAACGGATAGTACCAGCCCCAGCTTTGAACGCCATCGTAGTAGTAGAGCAACACCCATTGGA